AGAGCAAGAGACTCATTTGAGATTGGATTAACCGAGCTCTCGAGCTAGTGAACCACTATAAACTCTTCGTGTGTTAACTTCTATTCTCTGGTCCTAAATCTTAAGTGCCTAAGAGCTTAGACTGAATAACTCAGTACTCATCAAACTCATACCTCTATTCTATCGTGCCACATACACCATCAACTACGTTGTCATATCCACATGAAAATCAACACCAAATCCCTTGAACATTGGAAAAAAAATATGACCATTGTTTACATGGACAATCGGATAATACCTCAGGGTGTATCCTATTGGATGTCTGGTGCAATTCAATGAATACTCAACATTAGTTAGTAAATGTTTGGCACAATTCATTAAATGTTTTGCATATTTAATTACCCAATCTTTGAGTGATGCTTTAATTAGGACATTTGACTCCAAATGCCTATTGACTATTCCTAAGCCTAGTAAATATGCGGTTCAAAAAGACATTAACACGCTAATTGACCTAGACATCGAAAGAAAAATATCAAACTCATATCCAACCAATTTTCTAACGTTGTTCTTTGCTTCAAGAATCAAAAGCACGATTCAGTCAAATGTTGCTACTACCTCAACGATTGCAAAAAAATCCACCTTGTGCTTTATATATTTTCATTTAAATAACGTTTTAGTTTTTCCTTCACTTCCACCTTGACACTCTTGGATTGCAACATAATATATTCAAAGTGTGAGTCGCTCATTCAATTTTAATATTGAATGAAATTAAAATAAAATATTATAATAAATTTAATTTTTAAAATTTTCAACACATTTACCCTCAGATTTTTGATTTGGCCCCCATAAAAGAAAGAAGATACTGAGCCTATTGGAGATCATGAGAAATCAACTTAATTACGAGTGTGGTGACTTTGCGAGATTAATGCTAGATTTTCTATGCACAAAAGTAATGTTTCACATTCTTTACATTGACAAATATTATCTGTGTTCATCTTTACAAACTTTTAAGAAATTAAATGCAATATTTTTCTTCTTCTTCTCATCTTCTTTCATTTGTTCTTTGAGATTTAAATAGACACATCCTCATAAGTCGTACCTCAAAATTATACAAATATAAAGTTGTGCTACATAGTGTATATTTCCTCCAAGCTATTAAGCTAAAAATGGAAAACAGACTTGATGCTATTCATCATCATATAACTATATTAACTGAATTATTATTTTTTATTTTTGTATTTGTGAATGTTGAAAAAGTCACAAAGTGAAATAATTACACAATAAATTTCATATACCAAACTTTAACAGCCTGGATAAAGTTTTACAAAATGCATCTCAAATATTATTTTTGTAGACAACTTCATAGTAAAACAAGTAAAAATGAGTTAATCAGAGAAGTAACGAGACATATTTTTTTTCAAGATATGATTTAAAAACGAGTATTATTAACCGCATTGCAAGTTGAAGTAATTAGATAACAACAAAATAAAAAAAAAGTAAATAAAAGACAATTCTACAAAATGATTGCTCAATTTTTTTTTGTGTTTTGTTTTTGTTGGCTATTGGAAAAGAAAATTGCGAAGGGGCGACCCCATTTAAAAATTATATCCGTGACCATCTTGTTTGGATGGATTTTTGGGGAGAGTTTAGATTGACTTATCCAAACTCAAACCCCCCTCTTTACAAAAATGAGATTCAATATTGAATATGGTCTATACCCATGTTAGGTATGCAACACATACACATGTAGGACCCATAAATATATTATAATTATTTACAATTATTTGTTCTANGACCCCATTTAAAAATTATATCCGTGACCATCTTGTTTGGATGGATTTTTGGGGAGAGTTTAGATTGACTTCTCCAAACTCAAACCCCCTTTTTACAAAAATGAGATTCAATATTGAATATGGTCTATACCCATGTTAGGTATGCACCACATACACATGTAGGACCCATAAATATATTATAATTATTTACAATTATTTGTTCTATAAATGACTATTTTACTATTGATCAATCAAATTCATACTCATATTAAGGAGTACAATTGCCTTTTGCATTCTTAACCTTTTAACCTAATTTTTCAAATCTATATCCTTCTGAGTTTGACGAAATTCATGATCATAGTTTTAATATTTAGGCCAATTACAGGCTGGAACTTTAGACTATGAGATTTGAGAATCCTTTAAACTATTTTCCCAAATCCATATTGCCAAGTACCCCCATAATCCTTTACCAAACAACCTTAAGAGTCTGACCCTGCCAGGTATTTCTTTAGAGGAACATAGATGGTGACTTTCACGGACGNCCTTTTGCATTCTTAACCTTTTAACCTAATTTTTCAAACCTATATCCTTCTGAGTTTGACGAAATTCATGATCATAGTTTTAATATTCAGGCTAATTACAGGCTGGAACTTTAGACTATGAGATTTGAGAATCCTTTAAACTATTTTCCCAAATCCATATTGCCAAGTCCCCCCATAATCCTTTACCAAACAACCTTAAAAGTCTGACCCTGCCAGGTATTTCTTTAGAGGAACATAGATGGTGACTTTCACGGACGGTTCTTAAAGCCAACTATTTTTTCGAAGTCATTAAAAACAAGTCAACAATCTTTTTTTCGTGAAGGGTTGATTTGTTTAGTAATAGAATGGTAGAAAGCGAAAGAAATATAATTTTTTTAAAATTTTTAGGTGTTTGGTTAGAATAAAAAAGAAAATGATAGAAAAAATAATTTTTTTTATACTTGAATATTTTCACAAATAACTATTTTTTTAATGTAAAAAATATAAGAAAATTTAAGAAAGTCGTGATCTATATTAATTTTTCTTCCCATTTTATTCTTATTTTTCTTAAAATNGAGAATGGTAGAAAGTGAAAGAAATATAATTTTTTTAAAATTTTTAGGTGTTTGGTTAGAATAAAAAAGAAAATGATAGAAAAAATATTTTTTTTTATACTTGAATATTTTCACAAATAACTATTTTTTTAATGTAAAAAATATAAGAAAATTTAAGAAAGTCGTGATCTATATTAATTTTTCTTCCCATTTTATTCTTATTTTTCTTAAAATATTTTATTAGTTATTAATTTTAAAAATTTTTAGTATGAATTTAATTAATCATATTATTTTGGTCAAAAACTTTTGTGTTGGTGATTTTCCTAAAATTAGGTTTCGAGCCACTTTTTAAAATTTTTTTAACTTCCAATTATAATTAAATATTTTTTTTCCTTTTTAGATCGATTTAATATAATTATGGGTAATTTAGGCAATTAAAAAAATTTCTTATAACTTTCATTTCTTTCAAATAATAAAATGAATTTTTTTCGTAAATTTTTCATTCTAATCAAATACATACATCAAATATATTTTCAATTATTTTTTTTTCACTTGACTTCCTATTTTTTTTATTTTCCATTATTTTTGTCTTCCTAATCAAACCGACCCCAANTCCTTTTTAGATCGATTTAATATAATTATGGGTAATTTAGACAATTAAAAAAATTTCTTATAACTTTCATTTCTTTCAAATAATAAAATAAAATTTTTTCGTAAATTTTTCATTCTAATCAAATACATACATCAAATATATTTTCAATTATTTTTTTTTCACTTCACTTCCTATTTTTTTTATTTTCCATTATTTTTGTCTTCCTAATCAAACCGACCCCAAGGGATCATTACCGAGACAACCCTTTGGGGAAGCTATCTTGTTTTGGGGTTCAACAGAAGGCCTCCCTCCTAAGTCCTAACCTAACTCCTAAGCCCTAACCGGTCTTGTGTTTTAACTGAAAAGGGGGTAAAAGTGCAATTCAGGCTTTTTTTATTTTGACCAAGGCAAACACACAACCAGAGGCCTCAGCCTTCTCTCTCTCNAATCTTGTTTTGGGGTTCAACAGAAGGCCTCCCTCCTAAGTCCTAACCTAACTCCTAAGCCCTAACGGGTCTTGTGTTTTAACTGAAAAGGGGGTAAAAGTGCAATTCAGGTTTTTTTTATTTTGACCAAGGCAAACACACAACCAGAGGCCTCAGCCTTCTCTCTCTCGCGCTCAACTCGCCTCCTATTTCGATATCTTCCTCTTCCTCACTTCTTCGTCCATTCGATCATCGATTTTACATTGTTCCAATCTTCTCATCGTAGTCGAATCCAATTTTACGCAACCAAGATCAGACCCTCAGTATTGGATCCAAAGGTAAAACATATCACCTCTCTCTCTCTCTCTATTTTTTTTTTGTTCGGTATTTGACTGTGATCTCTGCATTGTTTGTACGCTTTTCCTTCTGTAGCATTGTTGGACGGAGTAATTCTATATCTTTTTTGTGTCTTTACATATTTTGATGCAATGGGATTGTTCTTGAATTTCAAAAGATTGATCTTTAATTTCATGATTGAGGGAAATTATAGACTCTATATGTTTGGCCCAGCTAGATCCATTTCTGATGAGTAGCGGCGTATTAAATGTATAAATTCATTCCGTTGCAAGTTAAATCGGCTATCTTTTTATTGTTTTCCTTGACTTGGAGCTCAGGGCATTCAATGTCATCGACTGGTAATTTGACTATATTTTGAATTTGTCCCTTGTAAATACATTAATCCATCTCATCTTTATTAGACTCCATCGAGTGGACTTATCTGGGTTTAGTAAAAGATATAGTGTTCCAAAGTTAGTTTGTTTCTTTTTCTTTTTATTTCATATACTTTCTCATTTGCCAATTCTTACTAAAGTCAGGAATGGAGTAAGGAGTAAATGTAAATGCAGTCCTAATACATCTGCCGCTTTCACATACTTCATCAATTAATTTATGTGGGTTTGTCGTTTCATTTTTTACGCAAAGGAGTTACTCATGCTTCATTTGGCAGCATGGCATTGGGGCTTTGGAATTGGAGTGAAGATAGTTAGTTCATAGTTCAAATTATAGTTTAGCAATTCCAAATTACAGCCTCTATACAATGCTGCCAAACTTAGTAGCTTTGTCTAATCACATAAGCGTAAGTAATTAATTATGGATATATGGGTTTCTCAGTTTTGTTGTACTTATGGAGTTCCTTTTGTCAACTTTCTGTTTAATTTGATTAACACTTACCAGCATTTCCAAATTGATCTTTTCAGGCAATGCAACACATAAATTACTTCGATGAGGCTTTATTAAAGTAATCAATTGCTGATAATATTATGGAAGAAGAAGAAATACAACAGCTTGGAGAAATTGCTGGTAGAGATTCACAAACTCATGAAGAAGGTGGTGGTGCAGATGGACAGGTAGGAACATTGCATGCAGAACACATTGACGTTGGTGATATCACAGACGATAAAAGTAGTGACTTGATATCTCAAGGGGTTGATTCTGTAAATACTGTTGTGGACGATGACCTTTTTGAGCAGGTATCTTTGAAAGATCAAGACAAGAATGTTGATGTTTTCAACCAATCTTTGAGTTCAGACAATTTGAGATCATCATCTGGTGGGAGCGAGGACACCTTTGAGTTTTCATTTGGGAAAGTGACCTCGGGATTGGATTCTCCCCCAGCTGCTGAGGTGCACCATGGTCACCATACTTCGAGCCCTGGGCCTGAGAGACAACCAGTTCCCCACATCAGACAATTCTCCTCTTCTACTAGTCTTGATTCTTCTTTTTATTCTTATGGGGATAGTGGAGTGTCTCCTGTGGGTTCGCCACAAAAGCCTAAGCCAAAAAGTGTTATGCCGAATGTCTCTCCTGAGCTCTTGCATTTAATTGATTCTGCTATTATGGGGAAGCCTGAAAGCTTGTTCAATTTGAAGAATATTGTCAGTGGTATAGAGAGATTTGGATATAGCGAGGAGGCTGAGAGTATTGCTCTCTTGGTAGTTGATTCGCTTCTTGCCACAATGGGAGGTGTGGAGTCTTTTGAAGAGGATGAGGATAACAATCCTCCCAGTGTTATGCTGAATTCGAGGGCTGCCATTGTAGCTGGTGAACTTATTCCTTGGCTTCCTTGGCATGGTGATTTTGAGGGTATCATGTCCCCCAGGACTCGAATGGTTAGAGGATTGCTTGCTATATTGCGTGCTTGCACGAGAAATAGAGAGATGTGCTCTGCAGCTGGTTTGTTAGGAGTTCTTCTGCGATCAGCTGAGAAGGTTTTTGTTTCGGATGCTGGTTCAGGTGGTTTGGCAGAGCAATCAAGATGGGATGGAACTCCTTTATGCTATTGCATTCAGTACTTAGCTGGGCATTCGCTCAGTGTAAGTGATTTGCATAGGTGGTTTCAAGTCATTACAAAAACTCTTACCACTGCTTGGGCGGCTCGTCTAATGCTTTCTTTAGAGAAGGCTATGGGTGGGAAAGAGTCAAGGGGTCCAGCATATACATTTGAGTTTGATGGTGAAAGCTCTGGTCTTCTTGGTCCCGGCGAGAGCCGTTGGCCTTTTGCTAATGGGTATGCCTTTGCTACATGGATCTACATTGAATCGTTTGCAGACACTCTAAATACAGCAACTGCTGCTGCTGCGATTGCTGCTGCTGCTGCAGCAACATCGGGGAAGTCATCGGCTATGTCAGCTGCTGCTGCTGCCAGTGCACTAGCTGGTGAAGGCACCGCACACATGCCAAGGCTTTTCAGTTTTTTATCTGCTGATAATCAGGGGATGGAGGCATATTTTCATGCCCAATTTTTGGTGGTTGAAAGTGGTAGTGGAAAGGGAAAGAAGGCTTCTTTGCATTTTACTTATGCATTCAAGCCACAGTGTTGGTATTTCATCGGTCTAGAACATACTTGCAAGCAGGGGCTGCTAGGGAAAACAGAAAGTGAGCTAAGGTTGTACATTGATGGATCCTTGTATGAAATTCGTCCATTTGATTTCCCCCGAATCTCCAAGCCACTTGCATTTTGCTGCATTGGGACTAATCCCCCGCCAACTATGGCTGGTTTGCAGCGTCGTCGTCGTCAATGCCCCTTGTTTGCTGAGATGGGGCCTGTATATATCTTTAAGGAACCTATCGGACCAGAGAGGATGGCTCGATTAGCTGCTAGAGGAGGAGATGTGCTTCCTTCCTTTGGTAATGGGGCAGGGTTACCATGGCTGGGGACAAATGACCATGTACAGAGTATGGCAGAAGAAAGTGCACTTTTGGATGCAGAAATTGGAGGATGCCTTCATCTCCTCTATCACCCTAATTTGCTGAGTGGGCGCTACTGTCCAGATGCTTCCCCTTCTGGAGCTGCAGGTTACAAATGTTTTCTTACATTTTCCGCAAAACTAAATAAGTCATTTGATGGAGATGTGCGATGAATATAAGTTATCATTGACAAACCTGATTTTGGTAATGTGTGGCACTATTCTAGTAACTTTTGATACACACACAGTTGTTTAAAAAACACTACTTTATTTTTATATTAAGGTTTTTCAATTAAAGTTGAGAGAGTGAGATTGCTAATTATCCTTTATCAGTGAAGTCAAGTTTATTTCCAAGCGTCGAGTACTTGGAAGTCACAAAGTAGTGTGATGATTGTGAGAAGTTCTCCCTTTTGGTCTTTTGGATCTTCTTCTTCCTCCTCTTGTCCTCCTATGTTTCTTAGGGAAGTAGGAGATGGCTGGTTGCGCCACCCATTGTAGGAAAAAAGTTGTGTAATATTGTAACAAAGTCTTGACTGTTGGTTTCAAATCTTTGACATATGGTTAGGGTTTATTATTATTTCTTCATTGTGCGATCATGGCTTGAAGAAGTTGGCTGGCTGCTTCTCTATTCTTTTTATGTTTCAGGTATGCATCGAAGACCTGCTGAGGTTCTTGGGCAAGTGCATGTTGCCACAAGAATGCGGCCCAGAGAGGCTTTATGGGCCTTGGCATATGGTGGCCCCATGTCTTTACTTCCCCTAGCTGTGAGCAATGTGCACGAAAGTAGCTTGGAACCACAACAAGGGGGCCTCTCTTTGTCTTTGGCCACGACTGCTCTTGCTGCTCCTATTTTCAGAATTATCTCTATGGCCATTCAACACCCTGGAAACAATGAAGAATTGTGCCGTGCAAGAGGGCCTGAAGTTTTGTCAAGAGTCTTAAACTACCTTCTGCAAACTTTGTCATCTCTTGATGTTGGAAAGCGTGATGGTGTTGGAGATGAGGAACTTGTTGCTGCAATTGTGTCTTTATGTCAATCTCAGAAATATAACCATGCCCTCAAAGTACAGCTCTTCAGTACACTGCTACTGGATCTGAAAATTTGGAGCTTATGCAGCTATGGACTACAGAAGAAGCTTTTATCTTCGCTTGCAGACATGGTTTTCACTGAGTCATCTGTTATGCGTGATGCTAATACTATTCAGATGCTTTTAGATGGCTGCAGAAAGTGCTACTGGACTATACGTGAAGGTGATTCAGTAAGTACATTTTCTGTGAGTGAGGAAACACGTCCTTTCGGTGAAGTCAATGCTTTGGTTGATGAACTTTTAGTGGTCATTGAACTTCTAGTTATGGCTGCACCTCCTTCATTGGCTATGGATGATGTGCGCTGTTTACTTGGGTTCATGGTTGATTGTCCACAACCAAATCAGGTAACATCACATTGTATAAAATACATATATTTTTGTACACAGATGACAGAACATAATAAAATTTATGTTGTATTATGTTCATGCATTCTTCGGTACTGTTCAATGCTTCTTTGAGTTTGGACATTTGGCTGTTGGCTTCATGGAAATCTGTTAACGATGGAAGCCTACTAAAACTGATGATATCCCTTCTGAAAGCAATCCCTTCTACAAAAATTAAAATTTTGTTTTCCTGTTGATAGATCTAATGAGATCCCTGTAGTTATTGGTTTCTGGATGCCCCCTTTTCTTTGCCCACCACCTTCAGTGCCATGAATTTAGCAAGTCCAATGGGAACATAAAAGGTAACAATTTAGTTTGGACGCTGGATCATGAAAATCTGTTAATGATGCAAGCCTACTATAAAATACATCATACCCTTTTGAAATTGTCCCTTCACATTGTTTTTGCCCCTTTGATAAAGCTAATAAGATACTTGAAGTTATAGTCTCTGGATGCACCCTTTTCTTTGCCCACTACTTTCAGTGCCATGAGTTCAGTGGCAAACACTATCCATTCATCAAGCAGCACATTGCGAAGGATACCGGAAACTGCAATGGACCCGAGTATTTTAGTGTACTGGAACAATTGATGGAAAAGAATGATCTCCCTTGGCACAAAGCTCCTTACAAAACAATGTCATGCTAAGCAGGCCATATGAAATTATATACCAGCCCCAAACATCTCTGTTCTCTCCTCAATAGAGACACATTGTTAAGAAGCTCGAGATGTAGAATAACAACGAAGTTAGTTTATCGGATTCATTTTGCAACTTTCTAGTCCTTTTCAACATGGTGGTCATGATGGAGACTTGTTTGTAACCATCACAAAATTTTGGTCAACACATTCTCAAAGTGGTAGAGCTGAGAACAAAGATGGAGATACTGTTTAAACTGTCTCCATTGGCCTCAATTTTCAAAATTTGGAATGTATTTTTGCTCTTGTTTGATGTGACAACTCAAAAAACCTCTTTGCCTAACCTTTATGTTACTAAAAAGGGGCAATCCCATATGTCGATGTAGCCCAGCCAAGTGGAGCTCAATGTTTAGAAGTTCAGAACTCAAGTACTTTCTCTTGAGGAATTACTCCTAGACGTGGTTGCTACTATTTGTTTGTGCGGGTCTTGGATTGTCAAGCTAGCCAAATCAAAGTAGGAACTTCAACCCTTGGAGTGAAATGTGGTAAAAGGAAGGAAAATCCATGTACCGACCCCATCATCTTCACCTTGTAGGAACTATGAGATCACCACATGGACGCCTTTGGCATTCAGGAGTCACAACCGGACCATAGAACCTTGTTCCATAAGTGGAAGGCATTAGCTTCCCGCTCTCGAGTTGGGCAGTAAGGGTCGGAGAATTATGAGCCGGAAAGGGTAATCACTCATTCTTAAAACTAGCGTTCTTAAGACAAAAGAGTCNCCGGACCATAGAACCTTGTTCCATAAGTGGAAGGCATTAGCTTCCCGCTCTCGAGTTGGGCAGTAAGGGTCGGAGAATTACGAGCCGGAAAGGGTAATCACTCATTCTTAAAACTAGCGTTCTTAAGACAAAAGAGTCCGAGTGAAAATGGGGAGAAAGTTCTTAAGACTTGGGAAAAGCATTTCGCTTTAGCTTTTGTTAAAGGTGATAGAAATGTGTGATGGGGCTGTCCAGGGTATGAGGAACAGTAATCAGGAACATCAGTTTGGCTGTTCGTGCTCTCTTTTGGTGGATAAGGGTTGAATGGTTAATGATATAAGAGAATGGGTTTGAATTCTGCTTTGTAGCTTGATGGAATTATGCCACAGAATGTGCATAGAAGTAAAGAAAGAATCAGCAGCTGGGTATCATACCTAGGGTTCACGTTGCATGATACAACCCAAATGCCTTGGAATGAAAACTCGCTAAAACATGTTCTCTATTGCATTGAGAAGGCTTACATGGTTTTATATAGACTTGTAGCACTCCTTATCCAATTGCCTTTTTTGTATGTTTGGAAACTGATTCTGTCTTGGAAATCATATATAAAACTAGTAGAAAACAAGGAAAGACACAATGAACCCATCTTCCAAAAAAAAGAGACCCAAGTGTCGTTATTACGATCCATGTCCAGCAACATCGGAAATATGTAAAGCACCTTGACACTAATGCAAGGAAGAGTGATTTGATATATACAGATGGTAATGAAAGAGGTGGAGGTCAGCCTAAAACTTTGAACAAAATAGAAAAATAGGATTATGATAGCTCACGGTCTGATGGAAAATATGACCCTTGATATAGCAACATGGAGAAACAAGATTTAGGTACCTGACCCCAAATAATTGGGATTAGAGCTTTGTTTGTTCAAAAAAGAAAAAAAGCACTTGACCACTCTGCATCTGCACAATGCGGCTGTAATTTTCTGCAAGTCCTGGACAGAAAAACTTTCAGCTGCTCCATTTGGTAACCCAATTAATTTTGTATTTTTGTGAGCAAGATAATCAGACACAATTATCGGATGTGTTGGGTTGGATGCTTGCAGTGGTAGGGATAATAATAATATTGATGATGATAACGACTATGCATACAATAGTAATAATCATAATGATAAGTGCAAGAATATTTGAGGATAAATTTGAGGTGGTTGAAGAGCTATGGAATCAATCTACCTTTTAGCAATTTTTTGGGCATCAATTTCGAAGGAGGTTGTAAACATACCTCTTTTTGGAATTTTGGCAAATTGGACTGCCGCTTGTGATTTATGTACTGTTTTTTGATGATTAGCATTGTATCATTGATCTCAATTTGTACTATATCCTTTATTTTTTTAATAAAATTGATTTTTCCTATCAAAGAAATAATAATACTTCTTCTGGGAAACTCTTGATGCGATACTGTCTGACCAATATGTTTGACATCCATTCCCATGATTCTCTTTTCCAGGTTGCCAGGTTGTTGCACCTGATATACAGATTGGTTGTACAACCCAATACATCGAGGGCTCACTCATTTGTAGAGGCATTTATGTCGTGTGGCGGCATAGAAACACTTCTTGTTTTATTGCAGCGTGAAGCAAAAGCTGGAGACCATGATGATTCAGACTCTTTTATCGAGAAGAATGAAACTTTACGAGTCCAGCAATCTGATCTGAATACTGGCTCTGGGGTTTTGGAAACTAGTCATGCTGATGATGTAGTATCCATGGAGGAAAACGAATTAGCTTCACATGAAAAGCCATTTGAACCTGAGTCTTTGTATAATGGTGGAAATTCTGCTGCTTTTTTGACAGGGTCTAAAATTGAACGGATGGCATCTGTCTCCGAGAATCCTCTCATTAAGAATTTGGGTGGTATAAGTTTTTCAATAAGTGCTGAAAACGCGAGAAATAATGTCTATAATGTTGACAAAAGCGATGGCCTTCTTGTTGGGATTATTAACCTTCTAGGTGCTTTAGTTATATCAGGGCATCTGAAATTTGGTACACTTGCTCCTCCAGATGGGACCAACAATCCTCTTGGTTTACTCGAGGGAGGAGGGACAATGTTTGATGATAAAGTTTCTCTTCTACTTTTTGCTTTACAAAAGGCTTTCCAAGCTGCACCAAACAGACTTTTGACTAGCAGTGTCTACACAGCTTTGTTGGGTGCCTCGGTATGACACATGATATTTCCTGTCCTGCTTGTCTTACTACTCTAATTTTTGGTGACATTAGTGGCCCATGCAATAATCTAATTTTCAACTTTTTCTCCAGATATTTTAAATATAATTGACATAACTACAGATATTTCTTTCTCCATTTGGTTTAATTGGAAGGGGGTGGGTTGGCTTTACATGTTATAGAAAATGGGCATCATACACATATCTTCCAGGTTTCTTCATTTCATCTTCTATTCACTTTTGAAATTGTATACTAGTAATACTTATGTGGATCGTGTAGGAATTGGATAAATATTAAATTAATTAATTTAAAATATCTATCCAATTCCTACACGATCCCCATCAAATACTCTCATGCGTGTATGCTCTGTTACTTCACTAATATGAACATTTGTGGTTGGATAATTGCTACTTATATTCCTGGTCTTTGTGGTGTAATTTGCAACAACTCGGATAGTGGACTTTGAAATTTGCAAACACCCTTATCTTTTAGAAATGAATAAAGCACTAATTAAAATATTCCAATAACTAATTAACTTAAGGTCAACATGTAGTAAGACTTTAATGGGAGGAGGCTTTATTGGTCACAGAGGAAAGGATCAAATTGGTTATGATAGGGTACATGGTGGACATGAATTTGGGGATAGGAATGATGCTGGAGATTCTTAGATTTTACTATGGCTTATGATCTTATGATAGCAAATACATATTTTAAAAAGAGGGATGAACACTTAATNAAACACATAGTAAGACTTTAATGGGAGGAGGCTTTATTGGTCACAGAGGAAAGGATCAAATTAGTTATGATAGGGTATATGGTGGACATGAATTTGGGGATAGGAATGATGCTGGAGATTCTTAGATTTTACTACGGCTTATGATCTTATGATAGCAAATACATATTTTAAAAAGAGGGATGAACACTTAATAATGTTTAAAAGTGGATTAAATAAAAGTCGGATAGATTTTTTCCTAACTAGATGAGGGGATCGTAGATCATGTAAGGACTATAAAATCATCCTAGGTGAGAGCTTAACCACACAACATAGGATAATGATATTAGATATATGAATGAAAAACAATATAANCGTTATGCATAGAATTAATGTTGGATGGACTAAATGGAGGAATGCATCCGGTGTATTGTGTGATAAATGTATATCCCTTAAGATAAAAGAAAAATTTTATTAGAATNGACTATAAAATCATCCTAGGTGAGAGCTTAACCACACAACATAGGATAATGATATTAGATATATGAATGAAAAACAATATAAGAAATAAGAAAGAGATAAAAATCTAAGAACTAGATGGTAGAATTTAAAAGGAGAAAATATAGATTTGTTGAAGAANAACTATAAAATCATCCTAGGTGAGAGCTTAACCACACAACATAGGATAATGATATTAGATATATGTATGAAAAACAATATAAGAAATAAGAAAGAGATAAAAATCTAAGAACTAGATGGTAGAATTTAAAAGGAGAAAATATAGATTTGTTGAAGAATAAAATACTAAAAAAAGTGGTGTAGGATTTAGAAGATGAAACAAATATAATGTGGAATACAACTATAGAACATATTAAAAAAGTAGCTATTGAGGTTCTTGGAAACAAATATAATGTGGAATACAACTATAGAACATATTAAAAAAGTAGCTATTGAGGTTCTTGGAGAATCAAAAGGTAATAAACTATTGGAATGAGAAATTTGGTGGTGGANGAATCAAGAGGTAATAAACTATTGGAATGAGAAATTTGGTGGTGGAATGATGAGGTCTAAATGGTGGTAAAAGCAAAAAGAGAGTGCTATAAAACATGACAAAAAATTAAAAATGAAGAAGACTTTAAAAGTTACAAGCAGTCAAATAAAGAAGTAAAAAAAGGGTCAGAGATGCTAAGTACAAAGCATATGATGACCTTCACTCTAAACTAGACACAAAGGATGGAGAGAAAAACATATGTAGACTTGTTAAATTAAGAGAAAGAAAAATTAGAGATGTTAATAATATTATGTAAAGACTCTAGGGTTTTGTTACGAAATAAGAAAATTAAAGAAAGGTGAAAGAATTACTTTGAAAAGTTACTAAATGAAAATCATATAGAGAGTCTAGTTAGTGAGAATAGTAGAAATCATAGGAAGTTTAGGGAAAATATATTTTTTTGTAGGATTAGGATGTCGGAGGTAAATGTTGCATTAAAGAAAATGAAGATTGGAAAAATTTTAGGACCTGATGGCATACATATTGAGGTTTGGAAGTGTCTTGGGGATGTTGGAGCATCATGACTAATTAAATTATTTAATAAAATTATAATGACCAAGAAAATGTCCGATCAGTGGAGGAAGAGTATTCTAGTACCTATATACAAGAATAAAGTGGAGGAAGAGTATTCTAGTACCTATATACAAGAATAAGGGAGACATACAAAACTGTAAAAACTATTGAGATATTAAACTAATGCGTCATACAATGAAATTTTGTGGGAGGGTGATCGAGCAAAGATTAAGGTTTCAAAAACTGGTTCTAAGAATCAATTTGGATTTATGTATGGGAGATTAGCAATAGAGGCTACATATGTACTTTGGAGACTAATGGAGAGGTATAAGGAGAAAAAAAAGGACCTTCGTATGTTTTTTATAAACTTAGAGAAGAGAAGACATATGATAGAGTTCCTAGAGAGATATTATGGAGGGACTTGGAGAAGAAAAATGTTACTGTTAGGTATATTGATGTTATAACGATATATATGAAGATGCAGTGACTTTAGTGAGAACAACAATAGGGGAGACTCAAGAATTCTCAGTTACTGTAGGTTTGCATTAGGGTTATATTTTCAGTCCATATCTTTTTGCGTTGATTATGGATGAACTGACTAGGCACATTCAGAATGAATGCCCATGATGTATGTTATTTGGGGACTATATTGTACTCGTTGATGAAAGTAAAGAAGAAATTAATAGTAAACTAAAAAATTGGCGAGAAACCCTAGAATCAAAAGGATTTAAGATAAGTAGGACTAACACTGAGTATATGAAATGTAACTTCAGTAAAAGAAGAAATCGAAATTTAGAGGTAGTAAAAGTTATATGAAGAGATATCAAAGAGTGAACAATTTAGATATTTATGGTCTATAATCATAGAGTGTGTGATTGACAATGATGTTATGCATAGAATTAATGTTGGATGGACTAAATGGAGGAATGCATCTGGTGTATTGTGTGATAAATGTATATCCCTTAAGATAAAAGAAAAATTTTATTAGAATACTTATAAGACTTGTTATGCTTTACGGTATTGAGTGTTGGACAACTAAGAAACAATATGTTCAAAAGTTGTGTGTGATAGAAATGAGAATGTTAGGATGGATGTGGGGTAAAACTAGGAAGTATAGAATTGAGAATGAATATAGTTGGGACCAAGTAGGGGTAGTATATATAGGAGATAAGAGAGAAATGACTTAAGTGATTTGGACATATTTATAAAAGGCCTACCATGGCATTGGTGAAAATGATTGATATGATAGTTATTGAAGTAAACGAAGGGGTGGAAGAAGACCAAAATTAACTTTAAATGAAATAGTAAAGAAATATATGATAACTTATGGTTTAACTGAAAATATTGCTCTTGATCTAAGAAGCACAAACATGGATACGACACGACCCGACACTGCTAGGTAAAATGATATTTCTCAAAAAAGTAGGATAGGAATATGTTAGAGACATGTAATAGATAATTTTTTTTTATATATAAAATTATATAATTTATCACAAATGTAGTGATAATGATATATTATTCATGAAACATTCAGTACTTTATAATAAGTAAATGTTATTTTTAGTCATCTAATGTGAATTTTAGACTAAAACATCAGAATAGCCGATAATCATAAATTTTTTATAGTTACGTGTACCTAACATAAATAATTTAAATGATTATTTTATTTTCTCAATTTTTCTTTTTTATAATTTTATGCATTTTTTGTTTTTATTGTTATATTTTGATTACACGTTCCCTCTAAGGATCAAAATTTCGTTTTGGTGCATTATTTCGGTCACCTAAGAAACGGAAACATTTCAAAAAAGTTACTACCCGTTTCGAAAACATAATGAAAAAAATAAAAAATTTAAGAATTATTTTTTCAAAACATTGGTCGAAATATACCAAAATATCTTGAAACATTCTTAAGTAATTGTGCAAATGCATTGAAATATAATAAAACATTTCGACATATTATGGAATACTTCAAAGTATTAGAAACTCCTTAGAAACATAAATGTTTTGGATGTTTCGACCATTTTGAAACGATATTTTGATCCTTGGTTCTCTCGTAATCTAAGACATTTATTCGTTATATTTGTAAGTTTTGTTAATCACTTGTCATCGCGTGTTTATTATTTATGGTCTAAACAAGTGTTGGTCACGCCACCAATGAAGTGTCGGGCATGTGTCCGAAATTAGAATTTTATATTTTAATTATGGACACGGATAAAAAAGTATCGGACATGTGTCCGAGAGTGTCCAAAGAGTGTCGATATCCGACACGGATACGTCACCTTCTTAAGAGTGTTTGTGCTTCATAGCCCTTGATAGAGCTCAATGGTGAAACATGATTCATGTAGCCGATCTCAAAAACGTTGGGACAAAATTTTGTTGAGTTGAATTTATGTAGCAATACTCCTTGATAATTTGAGATTTCAAGCCTGCCAGATATGAAACTCTTGATTTTCCCTTCTTTTCGTGGGCAGGCTATGCATCGATTTTGGACCAGGCATATTCATTTTTCATCTATGTAAATGGAGGCTAACAGTCTGAAAAACATGTTTGGCTTCTCTTGAAGCTTGGTTCTCGGTGAACTAAGAAGAGAATGAGGAAAAAGATCTGCTATGTGGACATAGGAAGTGCATCTTGTTTACAGTTTGCTATTCAAGTAAAGGAAGTGTGGTTGGTGCTAAATGTCATCTGTCAAAATTGATGCAGCACACTTGGTTTTAGTGTCTGACTTAGATTAACAAATATTGTTCAGGAATGGGAATGAGCTGATATATATTTAATTTGGGAAGTGGTAGATTGGAATACTGAACAGCTACCAAATACTAGTGTTTGAGCCTTCATTTGAAGGACAGAACATTGGGAAAGATTAGGGTTGATTAGGACTTGGATGAGGCTTAGAGGCTGAAAAGGTGCTGTTAAGGAACAAAATAAGAAGAGAAGGTGATGGAGAAAAAGGAAGAAGGAGAAAAGAATCTTGGGATCCCTCATGAATTCCCTAGGACCCGGACGCTAGCCCTAGGCACCTAAAGGAAGGTTGAATGATATGTTAGGAATTCACATGTAAAAAAAGACATGCAACACATCAAAAACAAGATCTTTTCATTCACAATGGCATAAGAGGATCAGCACAAAAGTATATCAGAAGTCTAAAGCAGGGGGCCCAGAGAACTTTGTGGCCAAGTAAACTCGAAAACCAAGTAATTATTGGCAGATAGGATTTTGACTGCTAGACTTTGCATAAACTTAGAAAGCCCAACCAAAATGACCTGACCCATGGACAGCAACTGCAATCCATGTCCAGTAACCACTGAAAATTATCAAGGTACACTTGGGGTCTAATTCGATGTCAAGGTAATTTTTTTGTAATAATACTAGTAGCTTATGGAGCCTTTAAACTTAGTTGCTGCATCTGATCTATCTTATTCCGAAGAAAGCCTGAGGGGACTGTTCATAGCTGCTCTTGCACCTGATCTTTTGACTCTTCTTTCTTTAACTAGTGCTTTAGGGTAAAACATGACCTGATTGAACCCAAAGCTTGGTTAGGCCAGGCCTTACACTTCACCAAAAAACAGTCTTCCTGTTAAAATCATTGGAGTAGATAAAATTGTATTNAGGGTAAAACATGACCTGATTGAACCCAAAGCTTGGTTAGGCCAGGCCTTATGAGGGTGTCATGCACTTCACCAAAAAACAGTCTTCCTGTTAAAATCATTGGAGTAGATAAAATTGTATTTCGTGCTATCTCCAAAGGGTATCTTGAAGTGCAGCGATATGTCATCGCTTTTTGAAAAGGGCAGGGCAACTTCAGTTTTTCGAGAGTCCATCAATATAAAAGATTCAACGTTGTTCCTCTTTTCCGTATGATGCCAGTTTGATTCGTGATTTCAGATTTTCTTTTGCCTGCTTGTGTTGGAAGCACTATTAGTGAATTTCCCAAGTGCTTGCAAAAGGTATTTTGGTTTTAAAGCAATTCTGGCTTCCTTTTGGATGGGTTGTGCCACAATGTTATTCGTATTGAATATCAGGATCTGAAGGAATTCAAGATTTTGGGAGAGAAATATGATGTGATGGAAGGATTATGAGATATGTATATTTTGCTTCATTTTGGGCTTTAGTAACCATGGAGAATATTCTTCTCTCTTGCATTATGGTGGACTGGAGAGCTTTGTGCAGCCTGTGGTTGTATATCAAGCTTCTATTTAGTGTTCAATTGTTTTGTTAAGCATGTTGATTGGATTTCTTGTCCACCATTATAATTTGCTATTATACTTTTACCGTTAACAAAGTTTTTTTTAATCAAATAGTATTGAATATGAGGATCTGAGAAATTTGTGTTCTGTTTCAGATTAATGCGTCATCAACAGATGATGGATTCAACTTTTATGATTCTGGTCATCGCTTTGAGCATTTACAGTTTTTGTTGGTACTTCTGCGTTCACTTCCATATGCATCCAAGGCATTGCAAAGCCAAGCATTACAGGTACTATCTTCTTGCTTCCTAGTTCCCCGTGTATTTATACCATTTCTATTTCCGGGTTTTATAGAATTTTACAGTGTCGTTTTACATGTAATGGATTTTATATTATGGAAAATTTGAAATTGCAAAATGATGAAAAACTCAGTTATGCACTACACTATATTTCCATGTGTAAAACATGAGTAGTTGATTTAGAGTTACTCATTCCACCCTAAAAGAGCGAGGCACATGGCTTGACCTTTTTTTCTCTTTTATTTTCTTTTAGGATTAGGTGTGAGGTTGTGGTTGCAAGGAGGAAAAAACTTGGGAAACTTCATCCATCCTTGTAGATTACCCCATCTTAAAAACACACCCTGCATTATCTGAAGCATTACTGTATTCTATTCCTTTCGTAAACACCCCTTGTCATGAATGGACATTACATACAGATCCAAAAATGCTGATGCCACACAATTTTTTTCATAAAATACCTATAATATCATTCGTATTTTTATTCTTAAACATGTCATCCCACATATCAGTTAATATATAAAGGCAAACATCTCAAAGTTGCTCCAGCTAGAAGACTGAAAAAGAAAAATCTCTCCCATCAAACTTAGGGAAGTTTCGTTTCAAACCTTAATTCTCCCTTCCTCTCCTCTCTATCTTGTCAAAACGCGAGAATCCTCAACATTGATAAAACCTAACAAAAACTGAAAAACAAAAGGGAGGTGGTGATGGTGGTGGGCTACTGGTGATGGGTCTGAGATTTTGGGTCTTTTATGCATTGTCAAGTGGTGGGTGGGAGCTGAAGAGGGGAGCTTGGTGGCAGTGGAGAAAGGTGTGGTGGTTGTGGTGAAGGGTGGTGTCGGTGTTGGTGAAGGTGGCAACAGATGGCAGACTCATTGTCTCTCCTCTCTCACCTCTTTGGCTCCTCTCCAATCAAGTTCTTTGGGTATAGCTCTGTTATTTTCTCGTCATTTTAGATCTGATAGAAAACCATTTTTGTTACAGAATTGAATGACAATAATATTGAGATTAAGATTGAGAATGAGATTGCAGTTGAAATTGTTTTGAAATCGTGTGTTCTGAAATTGTGGCGGTCTCCTTGGCAATGGCTATGGTGGTTCACCAACAATGGGTTCTTTCATGATAGTTGTTTGGGATTGATTATGGATTTGCCTTAGTTGAAGGACTCTTGCTAGGGTTTGCCCATGTGTGTGCCTGCAGTTGTTTGTGGCGGGACTAGTAATGGCTGATTAGTTGTGGTGGTGCTGGCTGGAGTGTGATGGGTTTGATTGTGGTGGTTTGATGCGTCTTTGCAGCAAAGTGGTGGTGGCAGATTGGCTGTGTATGGCGGTTGACCAGGTGGGGTTGGTGGCAAAGGAGGTGGGAGGGGTGGGTGAGAGGCGGAGGAGGGGGATTTTTGGTCTTTCTTTCTCTCATTGAGTTTATATATTAATATAGAGAAATATGTGGATTTGTAAAAGAAAGCTTAGGGGTAAATTGATAATATAAAGATTTTCGTTATCTCCGTTTGCTGGTAAACACTGACAAGGAGTGTTGATAAATATTAGATAATGCATGGGTGTCCTTGAAAATAGGGTAATCTGCACGGTGTATGGATGAAGTTTTTCCAATAGTATTTTTGTCAAACTAAGAGACTTGTTGATTTTACATATTTTTCTTTTAATAAGTAAATTTACATTAACAAGAGTCAAAAGGCAGGACATAACCTATACACATTAGGTGTATGCAAAATTAGACTCTAAAGAAAAAGATATCTATAGCTTGGCTCCAAGACAAAGCTCACCCAAAAAGTTTACAATGTAACACCCATAGAACCCCTTCAGTTAGTCAAAAGAAAAACAGACTCAACATGAAAAGTTTGAGTGTATGCAAGGGATGCTCGATCGATCGGACTACCTTGTATTCATCCTTCATGAGATAGACTACATCTAGCATAAGGCAGCCTTCTCCCAACTCTTCCAAGACATGTCAACTGTATAGCATCTCTCTACCTTGACATCACCCAGACAATGCCAAAGAGAGCAAATAAAGGAGAGCACATTCCCTGAGCCACTACACGATGCAAATGCAAATATGCAATTGCTGATGATCGATTGACTCTCTGGTTTCCAACACACACATCAGTTAATAATGCTAGTGTGCCTCTTCCGTAGCTTATGAGTCCTTGTGAAAAAGGCTACTTGTAAGGGGTTCTATATTCAATAGATTGCTCTCTTCATCCAGTATGCAAGTCGGTTTTCCACACATACGTCCCTAATGTACCAAATATGCAAAAAGGTTAGTAGTCCTTATAGTCAGAAAGAAAAAAAAGCTGAAAAAACTGTTTCATGGGAACTTGTGTTATGAAGCCCCTTTAAAGTAGGATAATAAGATTTCAGAGAAAACTCCAATCNTTATAGTCAGAAAGAAAAAAAAGCCGAAAAAACTGTTTCATGGGAACTTGTGTTATGAAGCCCCTTTAAAGTAGGATAATAAGATTTCAGAGAAAACTCCAATCTTGTTGCACACAAAATGTGCTCTTTCCACTAGGACATCCCACCTCATATAGAATGCTCGTAATAGAATCCTTCAACTCCATCTCCCAATCCTGAAATTCTTGACTGTATAGAAATACATATAATCCATCCACCAAAGCTAGGCAAATAACCCGCTACTCGAGTTTCTTTAACCATTGCCAAGTGATAGAGGTACGTGATTCTTGTGCAAGAAGAGTCTACCCCACACTAAGCTTCATGCTACAAATTGACCCTCTGACATCATAATAACATTCTTGGAGACTTTCTCCTATCCTTTGACAATGTGCTTCTGTATTTCGACCTAATTGGCACTCGAATCTCTCTAGGAATCAGGCATTCTTGTCTCTCTAGGAATTCGACCTCCTTCCTTTTTGGCCTANACAATGTGCTTCTGTATTTCGACCTAATTGGCACTTGAATCTCCCTAGGAATCAGGCATTCTTGTCTCTCTAGGAATTCGACCTCCTTCCTTTTTGGCCTANCTTGTGAAAAAGGCTACTTGTAAGGGGTTCTATATTCAATAGATTGCTCTCTTCATCCAGTATGCAAGTTGGTTTTCCACACATACGTCCCTAATGTACCAAATATGCAAAAAGGTTAGTAGTCCTTATAGTCAGAAAGAAAAAAAAGCCGAAAAAACTGTTTCATGGGAACTTGTGTTATGAAGCCCCTTTAAAGTAGGATAATAAGATTTCAGAGAAAACTCCAATCTTGTTGCACACAAAATGTGCTCTTTCCACTAGGACATCCCACCTCATATAGAATGCTCGTAATAGAATCCTTCAACTTCATCTCCCAATCCTGAAATTCTTGACTGTATAGAAATACATATAATCCGTCCACCAAAGCTAGGCAAATAACCCGCTACTCGAGTTTCTTTAACCATTGCCAAGTGATAGAGGTACGTGATTCTTGTGCAAGAAGAGTCTACCCCACACTAAGCTTCATGCTACAAATTGACCCTCTGACATCATAATAACATTCTTGGAGACTTTCTCCTATCCTTTGNCCATCTCCCAATCCTGAAATTCTTGACTGTATAGAAATACATATAATCCATCCACCAAAGCTAGGCAAATAACCCGCTACTCGAGTTTCTTTAACTATTGCCAAGTGATAGAGGTACGTGATTCTTGTGCAAGAAGAGTCTACCCCACACTAAGCTTCATGCTACAAATTGACCCTCTGACATCATAATAACATTCTTGGAGACTTTCTCCTATCCTTTGACAATGTGCTTCTGTATTTCGACCTAATTGGCACTCGAATCTCTCTAGGAATCAGGCATTCTTGTCTCTCTAGGAATTCGACCTCCTTCCTTTTTGGCCTAACCTGCCATCAATATCTCTATTCCATGATTTGCCCTAATCTCTCACATACACAACCATTTCTTCAAACAAGCCGAATTGAATATTCTCAACTCTTTAATGCCCAAGCCTCCCCGCTCTCAACCACTCCTACAAAAGAACCTAATCGAAAAGTCTCCACGTTCTAATGCTCAAGTCACCTACTCTTATCGATAAGCATACTATATCCCATTGCGCCAAATGATATTTGGGTTGAAATAGATAGAATCCTTGTATTTTACGCGCTCTCACTGTTGAAGCTTTCGGATGAGTTGTTGGTTTGAAATGGTTTGAGAGTAGATGGTCATACGTTCCATTAATTCTTTTATATTACATGTTTCAATGCCATAATCCTTATAGAATTCATTTTCAGCATCTTATTCATAGTTGTCAAATTGCGATTTGTATCGTAAATCGGAATACTAAATTTGAGAATTGTGAATTGTATCGAATCGTGAATCGTAAGATTCTACACAAAATTGAAAAAAAATAAAAAAAATAATATTTACATATTTAAAATAGGCAAAATATTGAATATTGAACATTATTGCATTCTACAAATAACCAATTGACATAATCACATCATCTAAATGGAAAAAATGCTAGCCTTTAGCTTCATTTTCATCTTTTGTTTAACCATTTTTAAATAAAAAATTAATTAAAGAACTATGACTTTTCAAAAACCAAAACTGCGACACGTATTATAAATTAGGTTACAAACATGAATGAAAAAAGAACAAATAAAAAAATTGTGAGAAAACATTCAAGTCTATATTTTGAAACAAGAAATTATAATCTAACAAACTATTCATGAAAGAATTGAGAGCAAAAATCAAAGTTTATTCTAAAATATGATGACATGAGAAAAAAAATCCAATTAAAAAAGAAACAGAANGAATACTAAATTTGAGAATTGTGAATTGTATCGAATCGTGAATCGTAAGATTTTACACAAAATTGAACAAAAATAAAAAAAATAATATTTACATATTTAAAATAGGCAAAATATTGAATATTGAACATTATTGCATTCTACAAATAACCAATTGACATAATCACATCATCTAAATGGAAAAAATGCTAGCCTTTAGCTTCATTTTCATCTTTTGTTTAACCATTTTTAAATAAAAAATTAATTAAAGAACTATGACTTTTCAAAAACCAAAACTGCGACACGTATTATAAATTAGGTTACAAATATGAATGAAAAAAGAACAAATAAAAAAATTGTGGGAAAACATTCAAGTCTATATTTTGAAACAAAAAATTATAATCTAACAAACTATTCATGAAAGAATTGAGAGCAAAAATCAAAGTTTATTCTAAAATATGATGACATGAGAAAAAAAATCCAATTAAAAAAGAAACAGAAAAAACAGGCATGCTAGAGCTTTGTTACTGTTAAGAAGAGAAGAAGAAGAGGAGTACGAGGCATACCTTGAGTCGATTATGCGAGAGTTTTAGTTGTGACCTTCAACTTCAAACAACGCAAGGCGAGCTTTAGACGACGTGAGAGGGAGAACGAGTAAAGAGACTGAATTTTTATTAGGGCATGGGTTCCTCTGCAAACAAAACGACGTCGTTTTATTGTTTAGTGGACAAAATGACGTCATTTTGCAAAAAAAATTGGGTTTTAAAAAAAAAATGACTGATTCGTGCGATACGAATCGAATCGTACGATTTGGATGCAATTCAACTCTAAAAGCGATTCTCATATAAGATAAGAATCGTTTTGTGCCCGAACCGAATCGTACGAATCGAATTGCGAATTGTACGATTTTCNCGACACGTATTATAAATTAGGTTACAAATATGAATGAAAAAAGAACAAATAAAAAAATTGTGGGAAAACATTCAAGTCTATATTTTGAAACAAAAAATTATAATCTAACAAACTATTCATGAAAGAATTGAGAGCAAAAATCAAAGTTTATTCTAAAATATGATGACATGAGAAAAAAAATCCAATTAAAAAAGAAAAAAAAAAAATAGGCATGCTAGAGCTTTGTTACTGTTAAGAAGAGAAGAAGAAGAGGAGTAAGAGGCATACCTTGAGTCGATTATGCGAGAGTTTTAGTTGTGACCTTCAACTTCAAACAACGCAAGGCGAGCTTTAGACGACGTGAGAGGGAGAACGAGTAAAGAGACTGAATTTTTATTAGGGCATGGGTTCCTCTGCAAACAAAACGACGTCGTTTTATTGTTTAGTGGACAAAATGACGTCATTTTGCAAAAAAAATTGGGTTTTAAAAAAAAAATGACTGATTCGTGCGATACGAATCGAATCGTACGATTTGGATGCAATTCAACTCTAAAAGCGATTCTCATATAAGATAAGAATCGTTTTGTGCCCGAACCGAATCGTACGAATCGAATTGCGAATTGTACGATTTTCATAACTATGATCTTATCTTTTCTGTTTTGTTTGATTTCAGGATCTTCTGATTTTGGCTTGCAGTCATCCAGAAAATAGAAGCAGTCTCACTAGAATGCAGGAATGGCCTGAGTGGATTTTGGAGATTCTTATTTCTAATTATGAGGTAATATGATCTTCTGATTCTTATTTTTTTATTTTTTATTTTTGGTTTAGGTTTATTTGTTCTTTAATTACTATGATGTAAAATGACTCCCACTGAGTTGTTGTAGGAAGGTTATTTTATAATAATATTAACAATAGTGGTAGTAATAAGGACGATAAGATTGACAATATTGACAATAATATTAACAGTGGTGATACAGGCTGTTCTCTATGAGATTATTCTCTAGTAAGTTAGGTTCTTTCTTCTGACCAAAAAAAAAAAAAAAAGTTAGGTCCTTTCTTACATGTTTGAATTGTATCATTTATTTCTACAGACTGGTGCAAGCGATAATTCAAATTCTTCGAGCTTGAGAGACTTAGAAGACCTCATACANGTGTAGGAAGGTTATTTTATAATAATATTAACAATAGTGGTAGTAATAAGGACGATAAGATTGAGAATATTGACAATAATATTAACAGTGGTGATACAGGCTGTTCTCTATGAGATTATTCTCTAGTAAGTTAGGTTCTTTCTTCTGACCAAAAAAAAAAAAAAAGTTAGGTCCTTTCTTACATGTTTGAATTGTATCATTTATTTCTACAGACTGGTGCAAGCGATAATTCAAATTCTTCGAGCTTGAGAGACTTAGAAGACCTCATACACAATTTCTTGATTATCATGTTAGAGCATTCAATGCGACAAAAGGATGGGTGGCAGGTTGATATTGTTCCTCCTTTTTGTGTTATTTTTCACCTCTTTATGTTCTCCTTCTACCTAGATGCATTTTTGATGATTATGTCTTTCATCCATAATATATTAGACTCGCAGTGCATATATTCTAGTTCCGCTGTTAATACTCTTTATGCAGCCACATTTTATATCCACGTGTTATTCTTAAATGCTCAGGGTATTATAGCAACTTAAATTTCCCACCATTATCTTTTTCTAACAGAGGGGTTTGCATTCAATTTTAATCTTTGTTGAACTTGGAATTGTATCTTGCAATTATCACAAATCAAGAGTATGTTGCTGCTGTATTAAAACATTTTGAATATTTTTTTTTTCTTCTGATTAGCAGCAACCATAGAAATTTATGTTAAAAACAGTAGGAAAGTATAGGACAAGAAGGATGAAAATCCTTTGAAATAAAAAAACAAGAGAGCAAAACCAAACCAACCAAACCAAGCCTTATGTCCCAATCATTTGGGGTCGGCCAAACAAGAGAGCAAAAGAAATGAAAAAATGTGAAAAGAAAATACTGTAACCAAAGTCATGTCACTGACCACAAACAGCCCTCCATCAACCCTAATTAGACATGAAGGAATATCATGGAACTCTGGAGAAACCGACGCCCAAAAGGATGTCAAAAATTTACCTCTTTACATAATACCGTCTCATTTTTGAAAATTGCCTTAATTTTTTTTAGCATTTCTCTCCAATCATACTATCCAAAAAAAAATGGGCACATGGTCCGAGCTGTTTATTAAGTCATGTTTCATATTGTTTCATTTGTTTGGTTTGGTGCATTTAATCCAAACACCTCATTCTTGTTAATTTCTCTTCTCACATCTAATGGTATATTCTCTCTTCCCTTCTTTCATTGTCTCCAGTTCCATTTATATTGTTTTGGCTATTACTCTCTTTTGACAGGATATTGAAGCAACAATTCATTGTGCAGAATGGCTTTCTATGGTTGGTGGATCTAGCACAGGAGACCAACGGATCAGGTACATTGGCATGCATCAAAGTCTCTCAAAAACAATAGTTTATCTATGTATGGTATTCTTTAATGTGAGCTGAGCAGTAGCTGTGCATTGTTTCTTATGCCATTGTGAAGGATCTGATCAACATATGGGTGTCTGTGAAGGCAAAAGAATATTTGGATTTTCCATGTGCTTCATCACAAACAATACATCTGTAGTCTTGGTTTTATCTCATATTCTTAGACTTCTTCATTTTATCAAGAAAGTGCTGCCAAAAGGAAATTTTAGGCTGTGCTTATGTAGAATACTCAACTTTTTCAGTGGACTAATGCGAGAAGCTTAACCTTGACTTCCCGTTACCTAGTTCACGGTAATCAAGTTCTCCATAAGTACCTTTCTTTGACCTGATTAACACATAATCTATACATAGCTTCAATCCGATTTTCTCTGTCATACTCTTTTGTTGAATGGCCTAACTTCACCATTATCAGATAGTGCACAACTTCAATCATATTCCTTTTGGTTTTTCCTGCAACAATTCTACTCCTTGTCCTCTATAATTGGTTTCCTTTGAATGTATTATCTTTATACTACAAACTATAATAATCGTTCTGATGTATGCTTTGTAATTGGGTGATTGAAATCCCTTGAGAAAATTAATTTGAAACTGCAAAAAGGTGGAAGGATTAGATGAACCAATTCAGTACTATTTAATTGTGGTGAATGCTTCTTTCGCTATACGTAACCATTATAATATCAGCANGAGAAAATTAATTTGAAACTGCAAAAAGGTGGAAGGATTAGATGAAACTATTTAATTGTGGTGAATGCTTCTTTCGCTATACGTAACCATTATAATATCAGCATGTTGATATCGTTTTTGCATTTTACTCGAAGACATGTATTTGATTGTCCTTGCATTAGATGAATTATCATTGACTTACACAGACTTATGATTGATTGTTGATACACTTTGTTACTTATGTATTCATGCTGTTCAGTGGTTTGAGGTGTTGGTAATTGACTTTTCTGAATGTTTTGTGGAATTATAACGTAATTCTTCAATTTGGTAAAACCTTGAAGAAGGGAAGATAGTGGGAAGCTTAGACTATGGAGTTTTTTGAAATCAGGCTGTAAGAGGGGATACTTTTTCTATTCATGTACCTGATCCAATTATTTGGAATCAGGTAGATGAGATTGATTTCTTTGTTTGCCTCAAACTCATAGTTTGGTACTTCGCTCTCTTTGTATCTGTCTATCTCAAATATTGGAAGAAATGCAGCAGTCTCAAATATATATATTTATATATTACCAGCTGGCTGCTTTTTATGCAAAAAAGACATACCAGGATTGGATGTCTGATCCTTTTGTACTCCCATTCTTTCTTGCAAGACCCCAGATTTGGACTATGTCTCTCCTTTCTGCTGTTGCAGTTACTGCTCTCCATTGTACATAATTAAGTTATCTTTACCACATCTCTTCTTGTTGGCAATTGGTGTTTCGTCCAATTCATCACTTTGGACTCAATTTAATTTTGTCTGTTCTTTCTGCGCCATGTATCAACCCTTCATTAACATTTTAGTTGCGCTAACTTTATTTGAGTATTGCTAACCCATACTCTGGCACCATTTCAGTGTAAGATGAAAGCAAACAAATTTTCTGCTTTCTATGTTCTTTTCAGATGTTATTGTTTTCTCAGTTTTTAGCGGGAATTACTATTGCTTTCATCTTGATATCTCGCCCAGTCATTGATCATTGATTATGTGTCTGTTCAATCATCTTTGTTTCCAAAGACGTGAGGAATCGTTGCCAATTTTCAAAAGAAGGCTGTTGGGTGACTTGCTGGAATTTGCTGCCAGAGAGTTGCAGGTTCAGGTAGCGTTGTTTCTTTGAACTTCAATTTCTTTTTTTGTTGGAAATTATATACGCATACGGTGTTTTCCTTTTATCATCAATGAACTAGATGGATGCACCTACTGAAAACTAGATGGATGTGTTATATATCAAAAACTAGTACAGTAGACACGAAAGATAAGGGGCCCTTCAAATATACAGAAAACAAAAAGGGGATATGAAAGTGGTCAACCCGAACTGGAAAACAAGAAGCATACTGAAAATACAAGACCTAGCAAGTTAGAATCCCATTTTCTCCCTAAGGAGATGAAAGTGATATCAACAGGCAATGAAATGCTAATATATATTTGTGGCAGGTGTCTGTTTCTATCCTTTTAGCATTTGTTCTGTACTTATACCACTCCTTTATTCAATTTTGTTGAATAGATTCTTTTTTTTCTTTTTATGCTTTTTCTATTGTGTTTATAAAAAATACAATTCTCTGGTGCAAGCTTTATTTTTGTATAACTTCTTTTCATCTCTGAGATTATGTCACGCAACAGCAAATACCCTTTCACTTTTCTTTTTATTTGGTTTTCTTTGTTTTATTTTTGTTACGTAAGATTAAGTGCAGTTCAACGTTTTCCAAAATTCATTTGATTCTGTCGTCTTGTTCAGCAAATCTGAAATTCTGTTTGTTTAAAGAAAGGAATGCAATAATGTCTACATCCAGCTTTTCCTTTGCAGCAGACTCAAGTTATTGCTGCAGCGGCTGCTGGTGTGGCAGCTGAGGGGTTGTCACCAAAGGATGCTAAGGCAGAAGCAGAAAATGCTGCTCAGCTTTCTGTGGCTTTAGTAGAGAATGCAATTGTGATTTTGATGCTTGTTGAAGATCATTTACGGCTACAAAGTAAACTTTATAGTGCTTCACGTTTTTCGGCTGGTTCTGTTTCTCCCCTTTCAAATGTGTTGCCTATGAGTAACCTGTCAAATTCGACTGTGGTTGATGGAGAATCTGTAGCTGTGGTTGATCGCAAATCATCATCTGCTGACTCTGCAGGACTCTCTCTTGATGTATGAAGCTACCTCAGTGCATGCACACAGGCTTTATTTAACCATAATTTGTTTGGCTCATCCTATAGGTTGAATGGTCTGGTTAATTATATGTAGTTATGCATCTGGCATGTATGTTTCTGTTTCAAGTGTCTTCTCATAGAAATATGTCAGTTTGTTAACATAGATTTATTTCCAGCCACTTTGGTAATTTATCTTACTAATCTTTTCTGGTCTTGACATCATATATATTTTACACAGTGTCGAATTTTGTAGAGGTTATCAATTTCAAATTGACTCTTACTATTTTATGTCTTACTCTGATCTTCAGTCCCTTTTATTTTGGTTCCTTGTGGAACTGAATCTGTCTTGGTTGCAACCAGGTTCTTGCTTCAATGGCTGATGCCAATGGGCAAATCTCTGCAACAGTGATGGAACGGCTTACTGCTGCAGCTGCAACGGAACCTTACGAATCTGTTTCGTGTGCTTTTGTGTCATATGGGAGCTGTACTGCAGATTCAGCAGACGGTTGGAAATACAGGAGTCGGTTGTGGTATGGACTTGGCCTTCCTTCAAAATCAGCAGCCTTTGGTGGTGGTGGCAGTGGATGGGGATCTTGGAAATCTGCTTTGGAGAAAGATGATAATGGAAATTGGGTAGAACTTCCATTGGTAAAAAAGTCAGTTGCCATGCTTCAAGCTTTGTTGCTGGATGAGTCCGGACTTGGTGGTGGCCTAGGTATTGGAGGAGGATCTGGTACTGGGATGGGAGGAATGACGTCACTTTACCAGTTGTTAGACAGTGACCAACCATTCTTATGCATGCTCCGAATGGTGCTTGTTTCAATGAGGGAAGAAGATGATGGTGAAAATCACATGCTTATACTGAATTTAAATGCGGAGGAGGGGTCAGAGGGGGTACACCAAGCTGGCAACATTGCAGCCTTTGATAACATTGCTCGAATGTCAGCACGGAAACCACGATCTGCATTGCTCTGGAGGTATTTCTTGTACTTGTCATACTTTCAATCAAGTCAATTCTTTGTTAGTTGAAAGTTAAGTTTTCATTGATCGCCCCTGATATTAGAAACTATTGTGTCACGACTGAATAACTCTATTGTTTATACTAGTTATTTTCCCATGGAAGAGCCCATACCAAACTTTCCCATGGCACTGCAATCTTTATAAACATTCAACCTGTCAGGTGTACGCATAGATATCACATTTTGCCCCGTGTTTCTGATAATTGGTCAAAGTTATATTTCGTATGGTTCTCAGAGTAGTAGTACAGTTGAACATCTAAACACAAATTGCGGGGGTTGACAAACATTAGATGTTATGTGTTCTCGCATTTCAATCATGATAGAAACTGATGGTGTCTTCACTGGCAAATACAATTTTTTGGCATGAATAAGGAAAATATATCGTTGGAGCTGGGATGATCAAACTTCATGCCTCCTTAGTTCCATTGTGTTTCCAGAAGTCCAATTGTATATAAAGGCATTATACACACGCATTAGCCTACCATAGTGAAAGGAAAATGAGCTACTGAGTGGTACTTGGATGCCTGTAATCTTTAAGACACTTGATAGTAGCTGAGACAATCAACAGCCATGATGCGGTTCTCAAAATGATTTCCACATTGGATTTGATGTCAGGCTAGGCTGCAGGTCTGTGCATGAAAATTCTCATGAGAAACAAAGGCAAAGTCCAAATTTTTCTTTTAATATCACTTGGAAAGAGTGAGGCTTTACGGGTATTGTGGACTCTGGAACCTCGTAAGTTTGCTTTGCCTTCTTTTGAGAGAGGGAGAGACTTGCTGGTAGTTTGAACCCTCCTCTTACATAACCTGTGCAAAGCTGTATTTAGTTATGTCTATTTGATTTTCCATGAACAATTTTATGAGTATTTTCTGAATGTCACATCCCAGTAGACAATTTATAGTGCATAGAGCCCTGCAAAGGCGATTTGGGTTTTGGTGGCCGGCTATTTTATTTTGTCAGCGTAGTCTCCTTCTTGGAGGTAATGCGCCAGAACATTAGAGATTGTGCCACATAATTCCTTCTTTCTCCTCCCCCCCCCCCAAAAAAAAAAAAAAAAAAAAAAAAAAAGGATTCAATGTGTCTATGTATCTGAGTTTGCTGCTTCTCTTGTGTTTTACTGCTAAAGTTTCCACACTTACTCAGGATCTTTCTAAAATTCAATGTATAAAGCATACCTCCATCGTGCTTCATTTGTACGGATGTTGCATCTTGTCGGATTAAGCATCTCTCTCTGTCTCTTTCTCTCTCTCTCTCTCAGCACACGCGTGTTGAGAAGGGAAGGGGGGGGGGGAGGGAGGGTTTGGCCCTTTATTATCTTAAATCCAATTTGNGAGGGAGGGTTTGGGCCTTTATTATCTTAAATCCAATTTGTTACATCTGAGATATGATGATTTGTCATGGGATCTGGCTCGGAGTGAATGCCCCTTGGATTTTATGTCCAGTGCTCTTTTTCTCTTTTTTAGTTTTTTTTATATCTCGACTGGTAATAGGCAGCAATACTCAATGCACACTAGGATGTATTTGCAGGCCTTTATTGTTCACGAGGTCCAAAGGCTCTTTTAAATGTACTTAGGTCAAACAAGATATTGCTTTGCTGGGATTCTTTTCTTCCAGTATTACTAACATCCTGGTTGTTCCCCCTTTTCTTTTCGTGGAGGGTGATATTTCAGGCTGTGAGGTCATTAAATATTGGGTTTAAACTAATTTTAATTAGTTATGTACAGCGTGCTCTCACCTGTTCTGAACATGCCAATCTCTGAGTCTAAGAGACAGAGAGTCTTGGTTGCGTCTTGCGTGCTATATTCTGAGGTTAGTTTTTCATAAACTTTAGCCTGCTCTGATTTATATCACATCAATTTCTATGCTTACCAATTTTAGCCCCAATTTTTTCTGAGTTTTGCTTCCACCGTTGGCGTTATTGCTTGTTTTGTTATCGTACAGTTGCATGTATCTTGCAGGTGTGGCTTGCAGTTGGCAAGGACAGAACCCCGCTGCGTAAGCAGTATCTGGAGGCCATTTTGCCTCCCTTTGTTGCTGTATTAAGGAGGTGGCGGCCCCTTTTGGCTGGCATTCATGAACTCGCTACTGCAGATGGTTTGAATCCTCTTGTGGTTGATGACCGTGCATTGGCTGCAGATGCTTTGCCTATAGAGGTTATTAAACGAAACTCTAACATGTGGTTTTTTGATGTCTTATGTTTTTTGAACAAATTCTTTTATTTTCTTATTCTACATTTTTTTAGCAGTCAGATTTCTATTTGAGACTTTTAATTTACTTTCCGAAATCCATTTTTAGAGTGCAGCGGGACTTTATTTTTGTCATTCCCTTTTTCTTTTTTCTTTTTGCTTGTAATATCTTGGTAATATGGAGTAAATAAATGCATCTAAGGCTTCAGACTGACAAAACAGAATGCATCTGTGGCTTTCTAAATGTCTTACAGTCTATTCGTATTGACTGAGCATGGTGCAATTGCTCACAGGGAGAACCCATAAGATGTTTGCTCCCAGTTCTCCTCAGACACATGCATTAATGTTGTTTTCTGAAAGTTCTGGATGAACAATCTTCAGAGAATCTGAATGCTAGTTTGCTTCACAATTTTGTGTCGGTTATATGCAACTTCAGTTTTTTGCAGTGACTGGAATCTCTCTCTCTCTCTCTCTCCAATGGAACTGTTAATGTTGACATTCTCTTTAGTTCTTTCTTTCCTTTTCTGATAATTCATCAATAGTTGCTTAAAAAAATCTCCTTGTAGTGCTTGTGATATTGCTGCTTGGGAAGTGCCCATATTGTCTTTTGTCACGAGGCTCTTGTGTTCTTCCTTGTTTTGTGTTTATTTTTTTCAAATTTTACCATAGCATTTCTGACATATAGGGGGCCATTGGTTTAATGGTTAAAATTCGGCTCAAAAACTTGGGATTATGGGTCTGAACTTGAGGTCAGCCACTTTGTGCAAATAATGCCAAAGATTAGGTCTATACCCAATCTACCATTCCCAGAATCCAGACCTTCATTGATGGGGACTTGCTGTGCATTTTTCATATTATAGCATTCGAAATATCTGACTCCAGCTGTGTTGTATTTGCTGCCTATTTTAGGCTGCCCTGGCTATGATCTCTCCAGCCTGGGCTGCTGCTTTTGCATCACCTCCTGCTGCAATGGCTTTGGCAATGATTGCTGCTGGTGCTGCTGGAGGGGAAACCACTGCACGTGCAACAACTACACAGCTCAGGCGTGATTCTTCATTGCTTGAGCGAAAAACAACTAGACTTCATACGTTTTCTAGTTTTCAGAAACCTTTGGATGCTCCTAGCAAATTACCAGGTGTTCCAAAGGACAAGGCAGCTGCCAAAGCAGCTGCATTGGCTGCTGCACGTGACCTGGAACGAAATGCAAAGATTGGTTCAGGCAGAGGTCTCAGTGCTGTAGCAATGGCAACATCAGCGCAGCGCCGAACTAAAAGTGATATGGAACGTGTAAACAGATGGAACATTTCTGAAGCCATGGGAATTGCCTGGATGGAGTGCTTGCAATCAGTTGATACAAAATCAGTCTATGGGAAAGATTTTAACGCCTTATCCTATAAATATATTGCTGTTCTTGTTGGAAGTTTAGCTTTAGCTAGAAACATGCAACGATCAGAGGTATGTTTTGTGTTTTTAGTTGTGGTGTTTGTCTTTAAAGCTGCACACAAGAATTGTAAGAATTTTCTTTTTCTATATTCAGGTTGACAGACGCACACAAGTTGATGTAATAGCTCGACATCGTCTATACACTGGGATTCGTGCATGGCGGAAGCTCATCCATTCCTTGATAGAGATAAAATGTCTTTTTGGGCCGTTTGCTGACCAGTTATGCAATCCTGAACGTGTACGTTACAAGCCATGTAACGCCTATCATAAATTTAAAGGATTAAGTTTAGATTTAAGGATGACATTATTCTAAGAACAAATGTTTGAATCCATAGGTTTTCTGGAAGCTGGATTTCATGGAAAGTTCTTCAAGGATGAGGAGATTTTTGAGGAGGAATTACCGAGGGTCAGATCACTTGGGTGCTGCCGCAAATTATGAAGACATTGTGGATTCAAAACATAATAAAGAGAATGCCATAAGTCCATCTAAAGCCTCTATTTTGGCTGCAGAAGCTATCTCTCTTGAGGTTGTGAATGAGGATGATGAGCAGGAGGATGTTGTTGATTTAGAGAACAGAGACGACGACATAGATAGAGAGGGAGAGATTCAGACTAGGCAGTCCAGAAAAGCTGAGCAGGCCCTGCAGGCAGATGCGAAATCTACAGATCTTCCAGTCAGTAATGACCAAGAGTTGGTGCAAAATCCATCATTAGTTGCCCCTGGTTATGTCCCTAGTGAACATGATGAAAGAATTGTTCTTGAGCTTCCATCAATGATGGTCCGGCCATTAAGGGTTCTACAAGGAACGTTTCAAGTAGGTTTTCATATTCTATGTTATGATGTTCATCATTATTCATGCAATGATCTGTTTTTAAAGATGTTTTTATAATGATGAATGGAAGCTCTCAATTTTTGAATAGATGTAAACGGAATGAAGCATATGTTCTAAATTAATGAACATTTAAAACAAATAATTTTAATTATGCTTCTAATATTTCAAGAACTGTTGGTGCATCTCCCCGTAGTTGGAAACTAGGAATATTTTTGCAGAAGTATTAAAAGTTCTAAACAATTTCCCTTGTCAGATAACCACAAGGAGAATCAACTTCATTGTTGATAGCACTGGGAGTAACATATCAGAGAATGGTTTGGGCTGCAGTACTGATAGTAGAGTTCAAGAAAAGGATCAGAGCTGGTTGATGTTGTCTATTCATCAGATGTATAGCAGAAGGTGAGAGGAAAAAGTGGGTATCGTGTTTTTGTTTAATTCTACTGCTGTTTGTATATTAAAGCATGCCTTTAGTTTGATCTCCTCCACCCCCTCTCTTTCTCTGAATCTTTTTCTGGTCAATATCCTTTTTTTTGGGCAAGTCTTCTGGTCAATAACAAAGGGGCATCAGATCTGTAGGTTAAAATGTATTACACAGTTTCCTTGTTTTTGTCTTGAATCAAATGGAAGAAAAATCATTGATGTGGGACAGCAGTGGACCCGAAAATTCAGTTGCTGTTCAATGCTGTGAACAGTACCCCATGAACAGGATGTGCTATTTTATGGGTTATGGTTCGATAGATGGTAAAGGGGTAGGGTTTATGGACTACTTTTAAGAATATAAAGAATAAAATTTCAGATCCCAAAAAAAAAAAAAAAGAAGAAAACTAGGAATCACTCGAAGGGTTTCTTAGGCATCACACCTAGGGTTTGATGAATTGCATCACACAATCCCATAGCATATAACTAGAGGGCGGGATGCAATGCAAGGAATTGATAATTTCGTCCTACCCTCACCCTAAAACCAAATCCTTCCTAACCGTAATATTACTGGACAATTACTTATTAATGTGTTAGAATGATATTTTTTTAAAAAATTTGAAATAGTTAAGAAAGATGATTAAAAATTTAAATTGAAAGTAGTTTAAAAAAGTAGTGAAGTAGTTACAAAGGACACATGGTATAATATGATTGGAATAAACTAATTAAATATTTCAAAATTCTAGTAATTAAATATTTAGGGAGGGAAGTTTTCTCATGGCCTCTCCTCCCTAATTTGATTGTTTTATATATAGACTAGTAGGACCTCGTGCAATACCCGACCAAGTGTTCATCAACTTATCTTTAAGGGTAAATTGTACCAATAGTCCCCGAAGTTTACCACTTGTTGAACTTTGGTCCTCAAAGTTTTGATTTTGTCAATTTCATCCCTAAAGTTCACTTTCAATCAATGTAGTCCTTCACACTAACGGTTACTTAAATTAATAACGAAAAATCATCACATGTGCAACACATGACTGCATATAAAGTATAGTTAGGTAATTTTTGCATATTAAAATGGGTATAAAGGTAATCTTAATATATTTGTTTTTGTTATATATAATAATCCAATAATATATATTTAGCTACAACATTTTATTAAAAAAAATAGAAAATTTTCTCCCACTGTCCATCATTTATGCCGCCTCCACCTCTCTTGCAACCCCACCTCTCTCTCTTTTAGTTTGATTCCATCTCCCCACAATCAAAAACCCACCCCAACATAACCCACCTCATGCCTCCTCCGCCATTCACCACTGCGTACTCCAACCTTTGCAACTCCCCACCGCAACATCGACTGCCACCACCTCCATTAATATCATCACAAGCTAACCTAACCACTCCGCCTAGGGGCGGAACTACTTGTATTATTGTGGGGGCAACTGTCCCCACCTTTTAAGGGGTTAACTAGACAAATTGGTATGTCAAAAAAGTTATGTTCAATTTATCTCTATTCCCCCTTTTACTTTTTGCATATGAATAGTGGCCCTAGTCTTGTCTGTTTTTAATAAGTTAATGGTCCATTTGTTCTCCGCGGAATCCATCAGAAGTGCCTGTTGTAGGTCTACTTCAGCCAAAAAGTCCGGAATTTATGGCTGGGTATGGATGTCCTTGAATTTAAAAAATGAATTTTTTTTTTTTTTTAACATCATGAATTTTTTACAGTATTTATAGAATGAGCACTCTGAACTATCTGCTTCAAAAAGATAGATGTCAGAATGAAACACATGGACATAATGTCGAGTGTCATAAGATTCCTCCTCTTCTTATGGAGTATGGATCAAAAATCTTTTTGAAAAACCCACTAGATATTGATCCCAAGCATCGTAGCCTCCCGTAAGCGCCAAAGATCGGTGATGTTGAAACGCTCGCCTTTAGCGCATTGCTCTCCTTTTATTCTTCATTGGATGGCTTGGATGGACTTCACCGTTCTTTCCCAACTAAAATAGAAAATGTTGTATTACATCGAGATGTCAATTCGTTTTCCGCCCCCAATGAGATGGGGAATTTGTAACCCCTTATTTATACTTTTTGGCCTTTTATCTTTCTAAATCGAGACCAAATCCTACTCGTGTCGTTCCAACAACTAACAAGAAAAAAGTTCGTCTGGATATCATTTTGAATCTTGTGGTTTCATCTGCTNGGAGTGCATAAGATTCCTCCTCTTCTTATGGAGTATGGATCAAAATTTTTTTTGAAAAACCCACTAGATATTGATCCCAAGCATCGTAGCCTCCCGTAAGCGCCAAAGATCGGTGATGTTGAAACGCTCGCCTTTAGCGCATTGCTCTCCTTTTATTCTTCATTGGATGGCTTGGATGGACTTCACCGTTCTTTCCCAACTAAAATAGAAAATGTTGTATTACATCGAGATGTCAATTCGTTTTCCGCCCCCAATGAGATGGGGAATTTGTAACCCCTTATTTATACTTTTTGGCCTTTTATCTTTCTAAATCGAGACCAAATCCTACTCGTGTCGTTCCAACAACTAACAAGAAAAAAGTTCGTCTGGATATCATTTTGAATCTTGTGGTTTCATCTGCTTCCTTAATAGTTGGACGATGACACCCGGAAGATACGGGCTTAAGGGTAGGCCTCAGCCTAGCCACAACTCTAGATAGCCTTGACCAAACAGTATTGATATATATGATAAGTTATGCTAACCCAAAAACATTTTTGCCATTCCAAAAATATTAATTTCTCAACAAGATTGAAAAAAATACTTACAAAATTATTATAGAATTGATTAATTATAGATATTCTTGAGATTTGAAACAACGTAACCTTTTTACAAATATCAATTTCTCAACAAGGTTAAAATGAAATTGCTTAGAAATTTATCATAGAATTGATTAATTTTAGATGATTCATGAGATTTTAAATAATATCATTGTGTTTCTCTTTAATATATGATTGAGTTGAAGTGTGCCACTAAAAAAATTATTGTTCTTGTTTGTTCATATTTTGTTAAATGCTGAATTGAATTGGGTTTCAATTTTTGTATGGCAATTATGGTTTGGATCTTAATATATTTCTCATAGCTGAACTTGAAAAAAAATTGTGCAAAATTTATGGGCAATTTAATCTTTATTACTTGAGATGGGGGAAATTTTTTTTTACATTAATCTTTCATTTATATTTTTGCCCCAACTAGGACATAATCCTAGCTCCGCCCTTNATACCAATTGATTAATCTTTCATTTATATTTTTGCCCCAACTAGGACATAATCCTAGCTCCGCCCTTGACTTGGCCTAATAAGTAACACAACCTCCTTTCTCCTCCCCTGTTACCAGTAAGCCAACTACCAACGTATGCCCTAACCCTACCATTGTCAGCTGCACCAACAACGATACAACACTGATTCTCCATTACACACACCAATTTTAGAGGATGAAGCAGAGATTCGAGAGAGAAGAAACATAATTAGNCAGCTGCACCAACAACGATACAACACTGATTCTCCATCACACACACCAATTTTAGAGGATGAAGCAGAGATTCGAGAGAGAAGAAACATAATTAGGGAGATTCACAATTAAAAATCCAATACCCAATTCATAATCAAAATCCAATGTCCATGAAGGTCCCTGGAAATCAAGCTATGCATCATCTAAAATCTCCTTGTCAACCAAGCTTAAGACTTTTACTGTGTTGTGTGTGTGCTTTGGTGGAGAGGGATGTGTGGGTTCAGGGGGGAGGGGGTGCAGAGACGAAGTGGACAGAGAGAGAAATAAAAAAAGAAATGAACAAGAAGGTGTATGTTTGGGTTCAAGTTTAATGATGTATATATAGAGAGTAATAGTGTTTGGATGCATGGATTATTGTAAAATATCAAAAATACCCCTAAAGACTATTTGTCATCGGTAATCCTACTCCCTACCACATGTTTGATCCCAATTTACAAAGAACCATTTATTGAACGGAAACTTTGACAAAGTCCTTATCACAGTCCAACACCACAAGACATTAAGACAATAACTAAGATTTACCATTATGCTATAGGACACAGTTAACTGCCGTTATCTCCTCCAAATCCACATGATGTTTCCAAGGAGACTTGGGTTTTCCCTCATGCCTTGTCTCAGTTTTCCTTTCTGTTTATAACCTTTTGCAAGATAGCCGCTGTAAATTTGATATTGATGAATGACCTACAGTTTTGTTATTTTTTCATATTCTTGTAATTTTCTTTTCATTTCTACTCTATAGAAGACTATTGACTTGTTCATTTTTCCACTGCTGTATCCATGCCCATGTTAATCATTCAATTGATTCTCTTTTGGTTTATTTTCTTCCTTTTTCTGATAGTCATTACTATTACTTCATTTCTTTTGCAAAGCCTAATTCATGGTTTCACTGTTGTTCCAGATATCTGCTTAGAAGAAGTGCACTGGAATTGTTTATGGTTGACCGGTCAAATTTCTTCTTTGATTTTGGGGTATTACTTTTTGAAGCATGCCCTTTTTGTTTGCTTATATTACTAAGCTTATGATTGCCATCTATTTAATTTGTTATGTTGTGTTGGTTTTTTGCTCCAGAGTACTGCAGGTAGAAGAAATGCATACCGCGCTATTGTTCAAGCACGTCCTCCTCATTTGAACAATATTTACCTGGCAACTCAGGTCCATTACCTTGCTGTAGATTAATCATGTCTTCTACACTCACCGCTGTTTTAATAAACAGTCACATAAGCATGCCATTAATTTTTTTTTTGATACGCATATACGTGCATGCCTGCACATATGAAAAAAACCACACGCACAAACTCTTGGATTTGAATAAAGTATGCTTTTTTTTTTCTAACTCTTGCAAACTGCCTAATTACTTTTTGTTTTAGAGACCTGAACAACTTCTGAAGAGAACTCAACTCATGGAACGTTGGGCTAGGTGGGAGGTATGATTAAACAAGGACCTTGGATGCATATTCATATGATATATGCAACTTTAGTTTGAATTCTATCACTTCTATCTTTTCGTGTTTTTGAATTCGTCAAATTGCTTAATTACTGTGCATATATTTTGCAGATCAGCAATTTTGAGTATCTAATGCAGCTTAATACACTGGCTGGGCGTAGTTATAATGACATCACTCAGGTTGATCTTCCTGGCTGGGCGTAGTTGCTCTTTCGTCTGACAAAGAGGATTTCTGTTTGTCTCTTACTAAGTCGCTTTCTTGTGCAGTATCCTGTTTTCCCATGGATTCTTTCTGATTACAATTCAAAGACCTTGGATCTTGCGAATCCTTCTTCCTATCGTGATCTTTCGAAGGTGGCTTAATTTGAATTTTGCTTCTCAAAGTACTAGAGCTGCTTCTTTCAGCTGGGATATGATGATATGTTATATGTATGCTTGCAGCCCATTGGTGCACTGAATGCAGATCGGCTAAAGAAATTCCAAGAGAGATACTCGAGCTTTGATGATCCAGTCATCCCCAAATTCCACTATGGTTCACATTATTCAACAGCTGGAACAGTAGGTTTTCCTAGCTCCTTTTTTTTTAATGTTAGTTATGCAATACATATTATAAAAAAAGACGGCTTTTCAATTCCTGTAACATGGCTCCCTTTCCATCTTTTGGAATGTCAGAAATTTTTTGTTGCATTTTCAGTTAAGTCAGCTAGATGTCTGCAAACATTGCGTTGGTTATGTGAAGCTTTACTTACATGGATAAATAGAACCAAATTTTACCTGTAACCTATTTCTGTTTCTTTCTGGCTGTGTTATGATTTCTAAAATGGCTCCAAGCCTGTCTTTCTGTCACTATGTTTCTTGTCTAATGTTCAGTTGATATCATTTGTGTGCATCTGTAATGTGAATCTGTTAATTCCAATGCTTTGTGATGGTGGTGCTATTTTTACAGGTGTTGTATTATCTCGTTAGAGTGGAGCCGTTTACTACTCTTTCAATTCAGCTCCAAGGTGGCAAATTTGATCATGCAGACAGAATGTTTTCAGATATTGCTGCAACCTGGGATGGAGTTCTTGAGGACATGAGTGATGTAAAGGAATTGGTATAAATTTATTATGATCCTTTACCGCAGATGTATTTTCCTTGAACTAGTTTCACCATTGCTTGTTTATTGGATGTCTTTGATTGGTTGTCTGAGTGACTGGTGTCTGCCCTCCTCTACATGTGCATCAGTTGCTGAAATTTATTACGGATTTTAGTTTTTTCGTGTTTATATTATATTATTATATTGTTGGTGGTTTTATTTGTTTTCCCTACATATCCTAGGTTCCTGAACTATTTTATCTTCCTGAGGTGTTGAGCAATGAAAACTCAATTGACTTTGGCACAACGCAACTAGGAGAAAAGCTTGGTATGCTCTTTTAACTATTCACACGTAGAGCTGTGTTCTCATTGAGTCTATTTTTAAATGTTCATATCTTTCATACATTTTCCTTTTGTCTATTCACAATTCCAGATTTAGTCCAGCTTCCTCCTTGGGCTGAAAACCCAGTTGATTTTATCCATAAGCATCGGATGGCCCTTGAAAGTGAGCATGTTTCAGAACATTTGCATGAATGGATTGATCTCATATTCGGGTAGGTTTACTAGAATTTCGAAGGGCTCATCGTGCTTTTATGATCTTCTTTATTTTAATATTATTTCTCCGTTTGCTGCTAAATGCAAGGGTAAATGTAAAATTAAATTTCTAACATTATTTCTTATATTGCAGTATAAGGGAAATGTAAAATTAATTGTCATTTGTAGCTGTGGCACATTTTGTTTAAAAGTCTCTACGTGGGCGATTTGGAATTTTTTTCAGGTATAAGCAACGAGGAAGGGAAGCTATATCAGCAAATAATGTCTTCTTTTACATCACTTATGAAGGAACTGTGGACATTGACAAAATTTTGGATCCCGTGGGTTTGCTTTCCTTTGATAATTTTGGATGTTCAATACAGGATTGCTGTTTACTTATGTACCCCTAAAATCACCGACAGGTACAACAACGTGCTACACAAGATCAGATTGCTTACTTTGGACAAACCCCATCTCAACTTCTAACCATCCCTCACATGAAAAAGATGCCCCTAGCAGATGTTCTTCACTTGCAGGTAACTATAGATGTAATCGTGGCATTCTATGACCTTATGGTCTATTGTTGCAGATATATTTCACATGGAAAAGCCTGCATGTGTGCATGCATTATTTTGCTTTTCCCCTTTGCAGTGTGTTTTGCTGTGTACCTTCCTTTCTGTAAAGAAACTGGCTTAAGATCGGGTACTTACTACTTTCCATCAAACTGTCTTGTGTGCCATGATTGAGCTAAACTTTGGGGTTATCTCTTTACTGGAGATGTGTGAACACACCATTTTAGTGATGATGTGTGATTCTCTCTACCATTTGGAAAGACATATACAAACTGGGCAAGAAATACCAGTTGTTGTGCTCTATGGCATGCTGTACCACACTGAACCTCTGTTGGTTCTTTGCAAATTTACATAGCTTGTGTTAAAGTTTTATGGCTTTGGAAATAACACTGTGATAAGATTGTTTAGTTTTAAACTATGAAGCACGTATACGAGATACAGAAACGATACGATACGGACGGCGATACAATAAAATGTAAAAAAATAGGAAACGAACACGACCAGGATACATCTATAATAAAATATATTTCATATTTTTACTATTATTTGCCGACTTAATAAATATATATTTGGTAATTTTTTAACATTACAAACCAAATTAGCAATTTTTTTTTAGTTTAAAAAAGTATATGTCATATCATCATATGGTGTATTGACAAAGTGAAGTTACTAATTAAAGTAATCAAAACTAATATTTACTTAGTTTGTTTGCAAGGATTTGTTGCTAAAGGGGTATTCAAATTTTCGATTACCCGCAATTTGTTACCCTACCAAACCCTATTGATCGGTTAATCGAAAATTTCGGGTAGAAATGTGGAAGATTTTTTAGTCTTTCGATTAAATCGGATAGGAATGCAGAATACCCATCAAATTTTCATATTCCTATCCTACCCTAACTGCATATATATAAACTAAAAACCCTAAGTCCCTAATGTCTCGTNTTTAGTTTGTTTGCAAGGATTTGTTGCTAAAGGGGTATTCAAATTTTCGATTACCTGCAATTTCTTACCCTACCAGACCCTATTGATCGGTTAATCGAAAATATCGGGTAGAAATGTGGAAGATTTTTTAGTCTTTCGATTAAATCGGATAGGAATGCAGAATACCCATCAAATTTTCATATTTTTATCCTACCCTAACTGCATATATATAAACTAAAAACCCTAAGTCCCTAATGTCTCGTCACCTCCTCATTTGTCTCGCTTCTCTTACCTCTCTTGTCGGCTCGCCTCTCTCTCGTCCTCTCTTTGAACACCCTTTGACTAGCTCAGTAGCTCACCCTCTCTTGCCTCTTTGCTCTAAGTGCTCTCTGGTCTCTTTGAGTCCCAGCCTCTCAAGTAATCTCTCTCTCAGTTGACTGTTTGGGACTATTCGATGTTGTTAAAAGTATTAGGGTAGTCTGTGTAAATTATTAATAATGGTAGGGTAGTATGTGTAATTCTTATTATTATTGTAAGTTAACTATAAATACAATGATAATATGAGAACTAGGTCAAACTTTTGACCTCTCTCTGTTCCTCTTCAATATATTGTGTTAATCCTTTACACTTAACATGGTATCAGAGCAATATGATTCTAAATACAAATATTAGCCTGTGTTTGTTTTTGTGGAAATTATCTTGGCTTGGTAACGTTACTGTTGAGGTGTTGTTGTTAGAGTTCCGGCGTTGTGGTGGTGTTACACAATGGTTGTAATACATTGTGGTGGTGGTGGTACTGCGTCTGTGGTGCAGATTTTGGCTGTGAGGCGTTGTCGACTTAGGTGTCTGAGTCGATCGTGGTGGTGTGGCTGCTAGGTTTGTCGATCGTGGTGGTGTGACACTATGGTATGACTACTGAGTCGATTGTCGACGATGGTGGCTTCTGCGTGGTTGCTGTGGTGTTGTGGTGGTGTGACGATGATCGAGGGTTTCTTTTGAAACCCTAGTCAGGTGAAGAGGACAAGGTCCATCGGGTCGGGTTGCGGGTCAGTCAAATTGAACCGGGGTTCAAACAGTCCAAACCCAATCAGATCCCAATTTCAAACCCAGTTATTTTTTAACCCAATCAGATCGGGTCCAATCAGATCAGGCCCAGTCCACTGTGCATCCCAGTCCAAGTTGGCCTTAGACCGATTCAAACCGGTTCAGTCAATGGTGACTCCGGTTCAGCGGTCCAGTAACCTCCTGTGGCCCAGTTCAGTTAGGTTTGGCACCGGTTTAGACCGGTTCAGTCATCTTCCACTTCAGTTCATCGGTCCAGTGCACCTAGTCTGCCCGGTTCAGCCTGCCAGCAGGCTTTTGGGGTCTGGTTCAGCCTTCTAGCAGGCTTTTGGGGTCCGGTTCAGCTTTCTAGGTGGTCCGATTTAGCCCTCCAGCAGGCTTAGCAGGTCCAGTTCTGTTCGGTTCTGTGTTCTAGCATTATAGCACCCCCTTGTTTGCTATTTGTTGCACTGCTATGGAACCCAAGCAGAATACTGGGTCCCTTACTTCAGCTTTACCACCCACCTCTATCCTTCCGACTATTATCAATGGTCCCATGACCTCCGTTAAACTTAATGGGCCCAATTATACTTTATGGTTCCGGTCTGTTCAAGTCTTTCTTCGTGGTAAAGGATTCAAGAAATATTTGGTGAATCCTAAACCCGAGGAAACTACTCTTGGATATGATCAGTGGGAACAAGAGGATGCTCAGATCATTTCCTTACTGTTGAATAACATTGAGTCTAGTATTAGTTCTACTTTGCTCTACCTTGACCATAGTTGTTAGTATCGTACGATATGCGATACGTGTCGTACGATACGTCACGATACAGGCCTAAAATGGTACGGATTGTAGTTATGTATTGTTTTTGCGTTGTATCGTCCGATACACGATACGTTTTTACGATATGATACGTATCAGTACGATACGCGCAAAACCTGTTTAATTTAATTTATTTTTTTTTTGGGATGGAACGATGCCATTTTGTCTAAAAAGAGCCTGATTTTTTATTCCTGTCACTTAAAACGACGACGTCGTTTTAAGGCTAGGGTTTACAAAAAAAAATAAATCCCTATTTTCCTCTCATTCGCTCATCGCTGTCTTCCCTTTTGGCCTGGGTGATCTTCAGACCTCACAAGTGACGACGACGACGAAGACGTTGATCAGACACAGGAGCCTTCGACGACGTCGATCAGACTCTCTCTCTCTTCTCTCTGTTGACGACGACGATCAGACCTCCTTGTTCTTTGTCTTCTCTCTCTTCTCCCTGTTCTTCATCGACAAAGGCAGCAAGCCAAATAAATTTTAGCTTCTTCAGCTACTCTAGGTAACCAAGCCAAATAAATTTTATATAACCAAGCCAAATAATTCTTCAGCTTCATCGACGATCAGACCTCCTTGTGCAGTGTAAGAACCAACCTTCTTCAACCAAGCCTTCTTCTTCCTTCTTCAGTTACTCCAGTCCAGTTAACCTGTGTAGTGTAAGAAATTCTGTTAGTTTATTTACAGAGCCAAATAATTTTTTATTTTTTTTTGTATAAAATTTTTTGAATCTTGATTAATTTTAATTTTGTGAAATAGTGGCATCATCAACATCTTATTTTTATATAGAAATGACTAAAAAATTTGCTAATGATCCCACATGGGAACATTGTGACAAAGTAGAAGGATCAAAGTTGAAATTGAAATGCATTCATTGTGCAAATGTCTATTGGGGAGGCACTTCAAGAATGAATTAGTAAACTATGNCTACTCCAGTCCAGTTAACCTGTGTAGTGTAAGAAATTCTGTTAGTTTATTTACAAAGCCAAATAATTTTTTATTTTTTTTTGTATAAAATTTTTTGAATCTTGATTAATTTTAATTTTGTGAAATAGTGGCATCATCAACATCTTATTTTTATATAGAAATGACTAAAAAATTTGCTAATGATCCCACATGGGAACATTGTGACAAAGTAGAAGGATCAAAGTTGAAATTGAAATGCATTCATTGTGCAAATGTCTATTGGGGAGGCACTTCAAGAATGAATTAGTAAACTATGGTTGTGAACTTTGCATTATAATAGTAGTGGATTATGTTGATGATTTGAATAGCTTGTGGAGTATTAATGAAATATTATGTTTTTATGAGTGTATGACTTTTTTTCAAAGGTATATATATTTTTATATTATTTATTTAAAATTACACTGTATCTTATGATACACGATATGATATACGATTTGTATCTTACGATACGCCTTCCAATACACAATTTGATAACTATGTCCTTGACACTGCCAAGGAGATATGGGATTACTTGGCCACCATGTATTCTGGTACAGGTAATTTTACTAGTGCATATCAGGTGTGTAAGGAGTACTTTCAGTTGGAGCAGGGTACCATGAACCTTGCGGATTATTACTCTCATGTTCGGGGAGTCTGTGAGGAGATAAAGGCCAACCATCCGTTTACTACTGATGCAACAGTTTGACAGAAGCAACATGAGGACCTGAATGTTGTTAGGTTTTTGGTAGGATTGAAACTTGAATATAGGGCTATTCGTTCTCAGATTTTGGGTGGTTCTAGTCTTCTATCACTGCTTGAGGTTTTCTCTCGTTTACAGCGTGCTACACTAACTACTCCTTTAGGTATTGATCATGGTGTCTCCACTGATCGCTCAGCTCTTGTGGTTCTAGTAGCTATAGTGATGGTCATCGAGGTGGACGTGGTGGTCGAGGAGGTCGTACGGGTGGTCGTAATGGATCCCGTTCCTGTACTCACTGTGGTCGTGGAGGACACACTGTTGACTTTTGTTGAGATTTACATGGTAAATCTTTTGGTGCTGCTAATCAGGCTTCTTATCAGGATGATATCTCTGTTGTTGCTTCCATACCTCGGTCAGTTCTATCAAACACTGGATCGATTACTATTACACTAGGTCAAGAGGAGTATGCCCAGTTCCTGTCCCAGCAACAGGCTGTTCCATCTCCCTCTACTGCTACTTTTGCCCAGTCAGGTACAGCTTCTATTGTTTATTGTCTTCCACCCGCAGTCCCTAGATCATAGACTCTGGCGCTTCTGACCACATGACTGGTGCGTCTGATATTGTTTCTACTTATCAGTCTGTTACTTCTGCACGTAGTGTTACTCTTGCTAATGGTACTTGTTCTGAAGTTTCAAGTCTGGGGACTACTCTCTTGAGTCCTGATATGTCCCTGTCATCCGTGTTATTTGTTCCTCAGTTTTCTTTTAGTTTACTTTCCATTAGTAAGATTACCTGTTCTCTCAACTGTTCTGTAATATTTTATCCCTCTTATTGTATTTTTCAAGATCTCAAGACAAAGAGGAAGATTGATATGGGGCATGAAGCCGGTGGCCTATATTACTTTAATTTTGATTCACCTACCCGAGCTCTACAGACCTCGTTGTCTCCTTTTCAATGACATTGCCGTCTTGGACATCCCTCTCTCCAGAATCTGAAGCGCCAAGTTTCCAGTCTCAGTTGTGTGTCGTCTTTGTCTTGTGAAACTTGTCAACTTAGTAAGCATCATCGTGTGTCATTTCAGTCTAGAGTCAATAATTGTGTCTAGTCCATTTGAGTTGGTACATTCTGATGTATGGGGTCCAATAAAGAATATTTTATCTAATAAATATTCTTATTTTATGTCTTTTGCGGATGATTATTCTTGTGTGACTTGGTTGTTTTTGATGAAAGCTCGGTCTGAATTATTCTCTATATTTGAGACCCTTCGTAAGGAAATAAAAACTCAGTATGGTTGTCGTATACGTATTTTACATTCTGATAATGTTCGGGAATATGAATCTGATCCTTTTTCAACTTATCTTAGTGAAATTGACATTATTCATCAGACTTCATGTGTTTACACATTTCCACAGAACAGTGTTGCTGAACGCAAGAACCGTCATTTGTTGGAAGTCACCCGTGTCTTGTTATTTTAGATGAATTTTTCTGTTATTTTTAGAGTGATGTTGTTCTTACTGCTTGTCACCTAATTAATTGTATGCCATCCTCTGTGTTAAATGGGCAAAGTTCATATTCTGTTTTTTTTTCTGATAAGCCCTTATTTTTCCTAACTCCTAAGGTTTTTGGATGTGTCTGTTATGTTCACAATTTGGGTCTTGGGTTTGATAAACTTGATCTTCGAGCTACCAAATGTGTATTTCTTGGTTATTCCTACGCACAGGAGGGGTATCGTTGCTACAGTCCTTCTTTACGATGATATTTTACTAGTGCCGATGTCACATTTGAGGAATCTGTTTCATATTTTTCAGCACCTTCTCAGCCTTTGGATCTGGACTTTGGGTCACCTCTTGTACCACCATCTCCTCCCTCATCTTTAGATATTCCGCTGTTCGCTGTGTTGCCGTCTACTTTACCTCTTCGTGTATACTCTCGTCGTCCTCGACCATCGACTGAGGTGTCCGTACCGTTTTCCTTGCCGCCTTCTGATCTTGGCCTATCAGGTAATTTTGACTCTTTACCTATTTCTCTTCGAAAGGGTACTCGTTCGTGTGTTACTAATCATCCCATTGCTCATTTTGTTTCATATGATGCCTTATCTCCTATCTTTTCTTGTTTTAGCTCTCAATTATCTACTATATTTTTCCCTAAGCATTTACAAGCTACTTTATCTAATTCAAGTTAGAGGAAAGCTATGGAGGATGAGATGGATGCCTTACATCATAATGGGACTTGGGNAATTTTGATTCACCTACCCGAGCTCTACAGACCTCGTTGTCTCCTTTTCAATGACATTGCCGTCTTGGACATCCCTCTCTCCAGAATCTGAAGCGCCAAGTTTCCAGTCTCAGTTGTGTGTCGTCTTTGTCTTGTGAAACTTGTCAACTTAGTAAGCATCATCGTGTGTCATTTCAGTCTAGAGTCAATAATTGTGTCTAGTCCATTTGAGTTGGNTTTTACCCCCTGGTAAACGAACTGTTAGTTGCCGTTGGGTGTACACTGTTAAATTTCACCCGGATGGTTCTGTAGAGCATCTCAAAGCCCGACTTGTTGCCAAGGGCTTTACTCAGACCTATGGTGTTGATTATGGGAGACTTTCTCCCTTGTTGCAAAAATTTTCTCTGTTCGTATCTTGATTTTTTTGACTGCTAATCTTGATTGGCCCTTGTTTCAGTTAGATGTCAAGAATGCCTTTCTACATGGTGACTTGGTTAAGGAGGTATACATGGAGCAGCCACTTGGATTTACTACTCAGGGGGAGTATGGTAAGAGTGTATGTCGGTTAAAGAAATCTTTGTATGGTTCGAAGCAGTCACTAAGGGCATGGTGTGGTAAGTTTTTAGATGCAGTTTTAGAGTTTGGTCTGCTTCGATGCCAGACAGACCATCCTGTGTTTCACAGACAGACAGATGCTGGATATGTCCTATTGGTGGTCTATGTGGATGATATTGTGATTACTGAAAATAATTCTGAGGGGATTGTCAAGTTAAAAATCTTCTTACAAGATCGATTTCATACTAAGAATTTGGAAAAACTCAGATATTTCTTAGAAATTGAAGTGGCTCGATCTAAACAGGGTATTTGTTTATCACAGAGGAAATATGTACTTGACATGCTAGAGAAAATAGGTTTGCTAGGTGGCAGACCGATTGATGTTCCTATGGATTCGAATCAGAAACTATTGGTGGATGATGGTGCATTATTTGAGAATCTGGGTCGATATCGCACATTGGTCGGGAAACTCAATTACCTAACTATTACTTGACCGGATATCTCTTATGCAGTCAGTATAGTAAGTCAGTTTATGGGGTGTCCTAGAGTACCACATTGGGAGACCGTTAATCGTATTCTGCGATATCTCAAACGAGCTCCTAGACTTGGACTGATATATTGAGCTAATGGATATCTTAGAGTGAAAGATTTCTCAGATACTGATTGGGCTAACTCTCCTTCTGATCGGAGATCAACCACCGGTTATTGTACCTTCTTAGGAGGTAACGTTGTCTCAGGAAAAAGTAAGAAACAATCTGTGGTAGCAAGATCCAGTGCTGAGGCTGAGTATAGGGCAATGACGCAGACAAAGAGTGAGTTAACTTGGCTGCTACACTTTATCCAGGAAATTGGGTTTCCAGTTCAACCTCTTTTACAGTTGTTCTGTGACAACCAGACAACTATCTATATTGTTATCAATCCAGTATTTCACGAGAGAACTAAAAATATTGAGGTTGATTGTTACTTTATTCAGGACAAAATAGTAGATAGGGAGATTACAACTCCATGTGTGAAATCTGAAGATCAGCTTGCAGATATGTTTGCCAAGGCATTGAGCTGTATACGCCTTACGGCGATTTATTCCAAGCTTGGATTATATGATATATATAGTCCAGTTTGAGGGGGAGTGTTAAAAGTATTAGAGTAGTCTGTGTAAATTATTAATAGTGGTAGGGTAGTGTGTGTAATTCTTATTATTATTGTAAGTTAACTATAAATACAATGATAATATGAGAGTTAGGTCAAGCTTTTGACCTCTCGCTGTTCCTCTTCAATATATTGTGTTAATCCTTTACACTTAACAGATGCCATCGAATCAATGGTCTTAGGAAATGATTTCTTCGAATTGATGGTCTCAAGTCTGTCGATGATTGGTGGTTGCTTTGGGCTGTTGATTATGGCTATAAATACTATGGTTTTTGATTTTATGGCTCTGTGCTCTCTCTCTCTCTATCTTTCTCTTNATCTCCCGGCTGCTGCCATTCATGCATCTTCAGATTTTCTCATTATTGTGGACATAAATGCTCCAGCAGCACACATAGCGCAGCACAAATGGCAGCCAAATACACCCGACGGCCAGGGTATGCCTTTCCTTTTTCAACATGGAAAGGCTAGTGCAGGCTCTACTGGTGGAACATTCATGCGTATGTTCAAAGGGCCGACTGGCTCTGGGTCAGAGGATTGGCATTTTCCCCAAGCACTTGCATTTCCAACCTCTGGAATCAGAAGCTCAGATGTGGTTTCCATCACATGTGACAAGGAAATTATTACTGGTAAGTGTTTTTTTCAAGAGTTAGCTACATCAGTTAACTGATCTTAATCTATTTACTTGTTTAAATTAAGTTTTCCTTGCAACAGAGACTGCTTTGATGCAATAGATTTTGTGAATGAAGTTTATCAAAGTTCATTTATTATGGTCAAACTCATTCATGGTGTCAAGGGAGCCCATGCATCAGTATAATTCTAATCATTCCATGCTTGAACTAATGCTTCCACAGTTACCGGAGAAAAATGCAGGAAACCGATAAAAGCCATACAAGAAGTGTAGAACAATGGGATATAGTATGTAGTACTGAATGCCTTAATTCATATGTTTATCAGCGCGAGTCAAAAATTGTTCAAATATGAATATAGATAGACAATGCAAACAGAGTTCTGACATTTCCTGGAAAATACTTGGTAGTTTTGTTAAAAACTTTCTTGTTTTTGCTATGATCCTATTTCTGAAAACGTCTTTATGCCCCATTTGATTACCAAGAAGGCAGATTATTTCAACTTACGAACCCTTGTAAATATATAAAATGGTGTGGTACCTATTTATAATACCCAGCCTACCATCTTAGCACCCTGAATTTCCTGGACCTCCACTACTTCTTTTTTGGCCTGTGGACCTCCTCTAGATTACAGTCATTTTCGTGCTGTTTGGAAGATAGAACGACCATCACTAATAGGGGAAGTCAGTGTTATTTCTCAAACAAGAGAAGGTCTGGTTGTTATTTGATAAAACTTCAAGGGAGATAGATGTAATTTACCCTTTTTGTTATATGGTGCAATACTGCAATTCAAAGGACAATTGGGCATTACTTTTGGGCCTGAACAGAAATTGATTTCAAACGCTTTTCATGCTTTGGCCCACTGGATCAATATGATCTATTTTTCTTTCTTGCCGCTCAGGTTTTGCTAATTACAAAAAGAAAAATGGGAGAAACAAAAAAAAAAAAAAACCTCTCCAAGCGAAACTTTTAACCTCCAAATCCAGTAGAACAGGCAAAACAGCAAANGCACACATAGCGCAGCACAAATGGCAGCCAAATACACCCGACGGCCAGGGTATGCCTTTCCTTTTTCAACATGGAAAGGCTAGTGCAGGCTCTACTGGTGGAACATTCATGCGTATGTTCAAAGGGCCGACTGGCTCTGGGTCAGAGGATTGGCATTTTCCCCAAGCACTTGCATTTCCAACCTCTGGAATCAGAAGCTCAGATGTGGTTTCCATCACATGTGACAAGGAAATTATTACTGGTAAGTGTTTTTTTCAAGAGTTAGCTACATCAGTTAACTGATCTTAATCTATTTACTTGTTTAAATTAAGTTTTCCTTGCAACAGAGACTGCTTTGATGCAATAGATTTTGTGAATGAAGTTTATCAAAGTTCATTTATTATGGTCAAACTCATTCATGGTGTCAAGGGAGCCCATGCATCAGTATAATTCTAATCATTCCATGCTTGAACTAATGCTTCCACAGTTACCGGAGAAAAATGCAGGAAACCGATAAAAGCCATACAAGAAGTGTAGAACAATGGGATATAGTATGTAGTACTGAATGCCTTAATTCATATGTTTATCAGCGCGAGTCAAAAATTGTTCAAATATGAATATAGATAGACAATGCAAACAGAGTTCTGACATTTCCTGGAAAATACTTGGTAGTTTTGTTAAAAACTTTCTTGTTTTTGCTATGATCCTATTTCTGAAAACGTCTTTATGCCCCATTTGATTACCAAGAAGGCAGATTATTTCAACTTACGAACCCTTGTAAATATATAATATGGTGTGGTACCTATTTATAATACCCAGCCTACCATCTTAGCACCCTGAATTTCCTGGACCTCCACTACTTCTTTTTTGGCCTGTGGACCTCCTCTAGATTACAGTCATTTTCGTGCTGTTTGGAAGATAGAACGACCATCACTAATAGGGGAAGTCAGTGTTATTTCTCAAACAAGAGAAGGTCTGGTTGTTATTTGATAAAACTTCAAGGGAGATAGATGTAATTTACCCTTTTTGTTATATGGTGCAATACTGCAATTCAAAGGACAATTGGGCATTACTTTTGGGCCTGAACAGAAATTGATTTCAAACGCTTTTCATGCTTTGGCCCACTGAATCAATATGATCTATTTTTCTTTCTTGCCGCTCAGGTTTTGCTAATTACAAAAAGAAAAATGGGAGAAAAAAAAAAAAAAAAAAACCTCTCCAAGCGAAACTTTTAACCTCCAAATCCAGTAGAACAGGCAAAACAGCAAAACCTCTCTCTCTCTCTCTCTCCGAGCTTCAAAAAGTGTTTGGTAAGCAATTTGGCCCGATTGACTTATTCGATTGATTACCCATATATGTGTTTGTGTGAAGACATATATGAGGTTCTGAGCTGGGTTTATTGCAGATTAGTGACTTTTTTCTGTTTTAAATGGTTGATTTTGTGCTTAATCGATGAATAGTTCGATTTTTTTTTTTAGATTTAAAAAAAAAGGTTTGAATGTTTCACATTTAAGCTGTACTATATGTTTTTTTAAGGCTCAAGCCTGGATTCATCAGTTCTTGTATTAGCCGCTTTTAATGGCTAATTTGTAATCCAGGACAGGTTAACTGGTGCTCTTTATATTTTGAAGTCTGCAAAAGTGAGTTAAATTCTATTACGTGACAGATGGAATTAATCACATCCAAATTCTGAATGCTGCAATTGTTTTTCCTCACTTCTTTGTGGACCATACCCTCTAGAATTTTCAAAGGTTGCCTTGGTGGAAATTTTCAGGGANCTTTTAATGGCTAATTTGTAATCCAGGACAGGTTAACTGGCCATTCTACATGCTCTTTATATTTTGAAGTCTGCAAAAGTGAGTTAAATTCTATTACGTGACAGATGGAATTAACCACATCCAAATTCTGAATGCTGCAATTGTTTTTCCTCACTTCTTTGTGGACCATACCCTCTAGAATTTTCAAAGGTTGCCTTGGTGGAAATTTTCAGGGATTGGATAGCGGTTCGCTTTAGTTTCGTTTCTTTTTTATTTTATTTTGCTCTTTCACTTCTTTGGGGATATATTATCCTCCTTATTGTGCCATTATCAAGGGGGAAAAAAAGCCAAAAAATCTTTAGACATATGTTGCAGGGCACTCAAGGAGGAGATTTGCTTAAAGGCTTCCTGGCATTTTTCTTATTTTAACTCAGCGTGACGGGAAAAATATGAACAAGGGCATAAAACAAATAAGGATACTGATGAAATAAACTTTTGTGGGATACAATGTATTTCAGGAGTGAGTTGAACGACAACAAACATTGTACAACTGAAGACATCTGATATAATAATGAATGCAGTAAGAAGGACTATAGAAACATGTATGTGCTGGTAATAGAAAAGGAATTTACAAGATGCATATCAGTTACCAAGAGTAAAGGCCAGAAACTGTTCTTTTTTCTTTTCTGTTTTTTTTTTTT